CCTAATAAGGAGTTTTTTATTCCCTATTTACTTTCCTTTATATCTTTATCATCTTCAACATCATTTATTTTATAATTTTCTACTTTCTTCAGTTTCTTTCTTGTAACGTTTAATTTATTTCTTATACCTTCCGTCATTGCTCTGAAAATATAAATATAAGAGACAGTCAATAAAAATTCCTACTTTCTATAACATAGTTATAATATAAACAATAAACTAACTCTTTCTCTTTCTTTACAACTTCTAATTCTTCTTGAGTTTTTACTTGATTGTCACATTCCCAATCACTACTGCGGCCCTTCTTCCTTTATTTATTTGCAAGTCCAGATGGTTCAACAGCTGGTTGTGAGCTTAATTTTTAATCAGTTAAATGATCAAGAGTTGATTTGCCTTTACCAGTAAACTTTTTATTTAATATCACAGATTCTTCTTCATCTTCCTTTGCTTCTCCACCAAATGACAAAAGATTGAAATCTCTGTAACAAAATCTTTCATTTCAAAGAACAATACCATCAGGACTAAATTCTACAAACATATATGATTTTTACCTTACTGCTGCTACTTTAGTTTTTGAACTGTTCTTTATTTCTTCACTTTCCTGTACTATTATTCTTGGTATAATATCAGAAAATGGATTGTTCAATATTATAGTTTTTATCAATCTTGGAGGATAAAGTGATCTATCATTCTACAAAACAGAGGAATTATTATATTTATATCAATTCTTGATATATTTTCTTGTAAACATTACATTTACCTCACCTACAAGTGCTTCTTCAAGTTTAAATACGTAATATATTGCTTCTCCAGTAACTTTACCATAGATTGTATGTTTCTTCTGCAAATCTGTAATCTAGTATGAAATTCTGTATGAAATTAACTAATACTTATTACTTTACCCTTAGTGCCTCGCCCTTGCATATATATACTACTCATGTTTGTAAGTCTATAATAAAAAAAATCCTTCGTTAATAATATTTCATATTAAATCTTCAGGCATTTACAAATCAGTCGACTAAATGGTTCTTTCCTCAAATAATCAACAGCAGGTAATACGTACCTTTTATTTCCTTTTAGCACTGGTTTTGTTGGTTCAATCAATTCCATATGCCACAGCCCCATTGTTCCTGCTGCTTTTATAGCTTCCAAGTTTCTATAGATATTTCTATACATTTGTACCTGAATGCAACATTTACACTCAAATTATCTATAACTTTTAAGACTATTATCAAGTGTCCATTCTCCTCCAGTGATCCTTATATTTGCATGTCCATGAAACACATCCTTCTCTGATGATACATATGCCACCCCTTTCCAGTTCCTTGAATGGACATAGTATGCATTTCGTCTTCTGCTTTCATTCAAACCTCCCTCTTTTCTTTATAAACCTCAGCTCCATCAATCTGAAATTTAACACATTGGCAATCATTGACTTTAACCACTGATATTAATATTTACTTAGATCAGGAATACAATATATCTTTCAATCTCACTGTAATCCCTATATTTAGTTGTTATAAGAGGCCATCACCTAAATTAATTTTATTCATTTGTCTGCCCAAGCCATCTCCATTCTCTGAATATTTATTTGACCAACGAAGATTTCTATCTTGTATTTCATATGGTTAGCTGACCTAGAATCCAATAGACATATCATAACTTACATATTTGTATTGCTGCTTCAATTTTTTCTCGCTATAAAATATAATTCTTCTACATCTAATAGCCCTACACTGATGATATTCCTTGAACCAATATTTTTCTACTGTAGCACTTGCCTGTTTATTTCAACAGAATATTTCCTTTTCACAACCAAGCTCTGCTATCACTAATAAAAGGTGGAAAATCAATGGCTCATAACTTATACTATTTAATTACAACCAAAGGTTATGTTAATAAGAAAGACACAACAATGCTTCCGGCGTTTGTTTGCAATTTTTTCTCATTTCCTATGCATTCTCCTATTCACTTGGAGAAAAATTAGTAAATCACTTAATTTCTGAGATTAATTTATGAAATTTTATAATTGCGTTGTAAAGGTGTACTTTTGCATATTCGTCGTCTGCCAGGTAAAGAAATGAATACTGATTGTCTAGTTAAAAGCGCTGTTTGGACTGAATTTATTAACGAATGTAGGAAACTTTATGATTTGATTTATTAAAATATATTAAAATATATTAGGAGCACATAACCAGAGTTAGTAAACTAACATCAGAGTTATCTATGTTTTTGTTGCTGAACTCGAGCTTTGAGTCTAAAATCATAGATGGCTTTAATGTCAGTTTACTAACTCTGGTTATGTGCTCCGAATATATTTTAATAAATCAAGTTGGCAGTGAAAAATTCACTAATTACTCGATATCTGTGATTAATTTATGAACTTTTATAATTGCATCGTAAAGCCAGATCCTTCAAAAACTTTCCAATATATTTTTGGATATAAATCTAAATTTGTCCCTAATTAATTAATTATTAATGATTATTCTACGCAATGTTTGAATTGTTGTCGAAGACGCCATTGGTTTTTCATTAATTACTATCCTTTACGCAATTAATTTATGAAGCTTTATGCACTCATTATAAAAACAATGTTCTTGCGAATCTTCTCATATAACTTCTGATCACATTTTGATTCTAATTTCATTTAGTATTAAATATTTTCACGGAAGGTCGCGATGGTCGTCGTTACGAAATCATGGATGCCATCAAACCACAATTAATAACTTACAATTTAGAGTTAAATTCTTTACAAAACGTATATAAAAATGTTGACTGAAATTCCAGCTTTGCAATGAAATTATAAAAGTTCATAAATTAATTATGGAAATTGAGTAATTTATTAACTTTTCTTCGTCGGAGCCCTTCCATCCTTTTCTATCCGCTTTATGTCCTTGTCTTTTACGTGACAAGCTCTTCGACGACTTCCTCGCCTATTCTATATTCCTATTACTTTTCTGACCATTTGGTTCAAAATCATAGATGGCGCTGATCGCAGACGGTAAAATTTTTATTCAAACTAGATACCTCTTGTGGTTATGCGTTAATAATACACCTTAATAAATCAATTCGGTAGTAGAAAATGAATAAATTTCCAAGTTTTTGTAATTAATTCATGAACATTTATAGCTCCACAGCAAAGATGGAATTATAGGCAACATTCTTATACAAAGTTTAATTTAATAATTAATACTTGCATGAGCGGTAGGTTTTGTATTTCCTGTATATAATGATTATTTATATTTTCGTGTTCTTTCTGTAGTAAATAACATTGCTATAGAAAACTGTTTTTCTTACATAATATTCTGATTATTTTGTAATAAATATATACTAGCATAAGAAAGCGTAAAAAATAAATTTTTTTATTAAGAAATTTTGGTTAGAATTGTTTATTTACAATGTTTTCATAGGCGAAAAATGAATATAAAATAAAAGATAGTTTGAAAAAAAAAGATATGAACGGAATCGAACTTTGGACCTGCAGCACAGGAATTCTAGAAGTCGTCGTTAAACCACAACCTTACTTGAAGACTCTGTAAAGTAAATTTATAATGCCGAAAGTAAGAAAATTTTAATCATAAATATCTCAAAAACTATTGAGTAGTTGCATTTATAATGATATATATTCTTGAAGTGCATGATGAAATCTATAAACCTGCAAACTTTCAACTAAATCGGTAACCCGAGGAACTTGCACTCTTCTTGTAAATGTCTTAAGTGTGGTCTAGGTCGAACAGACGAAGGATAGGAGCTGATGCGTACCTCAGTAAGAAAATTTTAAGATCCTCAAATATCAAATCATAAAAAGGGAAAAGAAGGAAAACGAGTCACCAGAGGAAAAAGGAAAAAACGAGTCACCAGTAGTAAAAGCGAGAGCGCAATGTTGTTACAATATATTATAAATTTTGTTATTACGACTTCATATAAGTCTCTTAGTTTTTCTACCTTTTAGTGACTCATAAAAAATGTACACCTAGAGATTAAGAAACACCTTAGATGCTATTTAATTAACCAATATTATCTTGTATAATGTAATATTAACTAATGCATTATATAAATGTATTTATGTAATTATTTAATTAAATTTATTTAATTATAATAAATGCCAAAATATAATTGATAGTTTAATAAATTATATATGTTTCTATAGTTATAAATATTTTTTCTTAAGTTATTGCAAAATAAATTGTAAATATGTTTAGTGAATATTTATTTAACTATAATAGATGACAAATTGCAATTGATAAAATAACAAAATATTTATTCTTAAATAAATTCTTTTCTGAAGTTGTTGCAAAATAAATTTGTCAACAATTTTCTAAAGGTATTTTTACGATTGGTAAATTAACAAGAAAATTCTTGGAAGGATCATCTTCTTTTCCAAGTAGTGAAATATTATAGGTGACCGAATTCCCGGGAAATAGTGATTACTCCTGACCTAGTTCTGGCGTGAGGGTTGAACCAGTTTTTAATCGTTATTCGAATTTATTCTACTTTCGAACGCGACGAAACGCTCTGAATGATCATAAAAAAATCTCTACCAACAAAATTTTCACGAAATAAATGAATGAAAATGAGAAAATGGTAATTAAAATTTTATTTAATGGCATAAATTACATTTATCGTAATTATAATGTCTAGAATCTCTAATGGTGTATTTAAAACATAAAATCTTCAATAAAATTTCCTATATTTAATACTCATTTCTTGTTTAATGTACTACAAATTTTATATCATCACAAAATTGTCTCTATTGTTGTTTTGTATTTGCGTTTAATGCATTTATGATTTCGTAAACAGTTTTATCTAATTAATTCAACTATTATCTAACATAAGAGATCATTAAAATTCTTATAAAAAGTGGAAGTCATCGTACAATACTAACAGAGATTAAGAACTAATCTCTTTTTATTATATTAGAACTAGTATTCAATACTATCTGATCTTAATTACGATGAAAAATTCTTATATAAAATAATTAAAAAATATTTATTTTGCTGTCTTTTTAAAATATTTATACATTCTCTTATTTAAAAAAAATGCATTAATATTCGTTTCTATCTCTTCTGTGAAGTTGTACAATTCTAAGTGTTACCAGTAACATAAATCTTAACTTACAGTTCGCAGTGCCCCTAATTGAATACAAATAACTATAAACTTTTATTATTTTTGATCACTGGTAACAAAATTGTACTTTAACGTGTCCCCTGTGAAACTTTCACAGGAATTACTCTTATCTTACTTCGTCAGAAAACCTTTGAACCGATCAGTCTCGTACAAAACGATATGGTTATCGATAGAACTAGAATCTTCTTTTTTAATTTCCTTCTACGCCGCTGAAGAGGGCGACGTAAAACTCTCTTCAAACTCCCTTCTTCGCTTCCTACTATATTACTCAAACGCTTCATTCTACTACATAGTTTATGTTTCCTTGTTTAATCAGTACCCAAATCAGACAACGAAGATACAATCCAGAAGAGATTAAAAGCCATATGAAACTTTTATAGTGATAATAACGCATATTATACTAATCTTCATTGTAAAGAAGTTTGTATGTTTTTATGGATACTAAAGAAATTATGGTATAAGTCATAAGAGAGTTTTGCGTAACCCTGTACTTCTAAACAATTATCTTTATGCCAACGAATACTTTTTTAACCATCATAGGTCGAGGGTGGTATCAGATCCGTGATGATAATCCTCATCTAATAGGGGCTCTTGTTCCACCGTCATGCGAACTGTGAACAGAACTGTTCATGCATACCAACGAATAAAAACATTAACGATGAGCATGTGCGAATACCTTTTGTTATTATGCGAGTTTTATTAATCATAACTTGTTTCTGTACTTCATTATGGCAAAGGTAATTAAAATCTTTTTTAAAGTATCTTTTATTTAATATTTATAATTTAAAATATCTTTTTAAAGTTTTAATAATACATTAAAAATAAGAGACAAATCGTTCCAAAAACTTATAGAAATATAGAAGAAATTAACCAAAGTATTAGTGTATTATTCGCACATACTTAAATAATATTATATTAAATAGTAACACATTATAATATTACTTAATATTAGATAAATATGCCCATTTTTGTAACAGACCACGCATTTCAGTAATATTAACCAAAACTCAGCAATTAATGAAAGTAATTGTGATTTTGATTGAAAAAATATTATAATCGCTTTTGTACTTGCATCTTCAGTCAAAGATGATAAGATAATATAATTGCCGAACTCTTTCTTTCTTTACACTTAATAGCGTTTCATATATGTATATACGCATTAATCAATGACCGTGTTCAGAAATTTTTCTTTGATTTTTTACAAATTTTACAATTCAAATAATTGTTATAAGGCAAAAATGTTAGAAGTATTATTTCTAAGTATAACATCCTGAATGCGTTTGATAAGGCGTTAAAACCAAACAGGCAAAGCATGCAAATACAGTTTTCACATATTAATTCTCTACTTGCTTTATTACGTACCTCACGATGATTGTATGTATTTCATATTATCGTGAATATTCGATAAATTTCATTTGATAAATATCAATTTTTGATTATATAATATGTTACCATAAAAATATATAACAGTATTACACTATACAGTATTTCATTACATATAACCGTTGATATAAAAAAAAAATAGTACTTCTGGTATTATTTACAAAGTGATATTTATGGATAATTCTACATATTATTAATTCAAATATATAAAATTAAATGATACACGATCTAATAAAAAACAAAATTTATAAAAAGTTCCATAAACATGCTAAATATTAACAATGCAATTTGACGTAAAATAATTGTGCAAGCTATTGTTACAATGTTATTACATAATTACGAATTCAGATTCTATATTTCTTCATTTCTATATATGTGATTTTTTTAGATACATTGTAATTATATAAACATTTAAAATGATATAAAATAATGCAGCATGCAAATTAATATGTTGGAAGCTGATAAAAGCATATTAAAAAGCAAGATTTTGAGAATCACCTTTGCAAGCCATTTTGGAAGGATTAAATCCGAAGATAGGAAAATGGGAAAGTAACTTCAAAGATTCTAATTATTACATTAAACTAATTCCAATGAAAACATACAAATGAAAGATAGCATGTGATAGGAAAATTATTTATCGAAAAAGTATATTACACTTTGTGAACAAAAACCAAGGTACATTAGAATATTAGATACAATATTTATTTTATCAGGCTATGTTGCAGAAAAGCCTTATAGAAATATTGTCATTCTGATAATCTTAAACATTCTAGTAAAAATCTGAGACTCTTGTAACAATAGAATTGTATAGTTGGAATACTGTATAGCTAGTGGGACATTCTATCATGAAGTAACATTATACCATATGATAATGCAATCTAATGAAATATTTATACTAAACATTGCTTAAAATTTGGTAATTTTTTACACGACATTTTTTTTATACAAAATATTTCCATGAGTAATAGCGTTTTTGCTGAAACTATATTCAGACAGTTTCAAATGAAATGGATGTACATTTTTGAGGACTAATGCTTCTTATAGTGCAATATAATGGAAGAATATATTTTTGCTTTTTCGAGTTATATCACTAACGATCTAAGGTCTTTATTTTTAAATAACATTCTTTAAATCAGAGACAAAACAATAATTTTTAAATGAACTACACTTCAAAATTATGCATTCCTTATTACCTACAATAATTACATTACATTAGGAATTTAAATGCATGTATTTAATTCCATTTAGAACTGATATTGATTAGACAATATACCATATTTCTTATAGACATTAGAAAATAAATTTTACACAAGCTGCTAAATGAAGAATCCCCTTCATGTGAAATTATTTTAGATAAAGATTTATCTGCTATTTTGATTTCTAACTCAAAAACTATTTTACATGATTGCAATCTTAAGTGCATGTTAAGACCATAGATCTAAGCAGAATGTAAATCATGATAAATGATAAATTATAAATATTATATGTCAATTTACCTAATGCTTAAATAATATGTACAGTTTTTGTGCTATGCACTTTTCCTTATACAATTCCTTATTCATTACAAATAGATATTCACTAAAAAAATATATATATATATATCTCAAAACACAAAATGACCATAATTTGTTAATCAATAACATTTCTTCAATCCTCTCTAATAACCTTTCAATAACAAAATTGAAATTGTTAAAAAAAAGAAGAAAACCAAAACAAAAACCATGGATTGAATTATTTTAGTTCAAATGAATTATCTTTGGTTGTTTACTTATGCTATAAATTTGTTATAATTGACTATAGAAATATTGGAATATTCATATTTAACTACGTATACATATGTTACATGTAAACTAGATTTGTAAGTTTAAAAGGAAATTAGTTCTTCCTCAATTTCAAACTTATAAATGAACTATTAAATTATTTTATGAGATCATGGCTGTAGTATTGCAACCAAAAAATAGTATCAGAATCATTAAACATAATCTCTGGAAAACAACACGGGAACAATCACAATTTAATTTCTCCCTTCTTCTTTTGTAAGATTATCAGCAAGAATTAATGACTCCTAAATTCCTTTAATCTTTAAAATTTTCTTTGTAATTTAAGTCATCAGAAAATTTAAAATGTACGTTCATTGTAATTTTATGATTATCAAACAAATTTCATACAATTCTTAACAACTAGAATAAATTATTCACAATCACCGATTTAATTAAATTGTTGTAGAACTTATAACAATGATGATGTAAAGTTACTTAAAATTTATGTCATGTCTTTTGACCATCTTTTTTTGATAATAATTTATATGTCACTTGCAGTATTGAAATTGTCTTGTTTCGTATATCTTAATATTTTATCGATTTTAATCATAACTCTGATCTCTAAATAGATGATATTTCTTTCATCGATAATAAAGTAACTGCAATCGATGGAAAGCAGTAAGTAATTTTTCACCAACGTGTTGATGAGACCTTTTATTTATATTCGATACTAATCAGATGCGACGATGATTGTAAATTAATGTGATAATAAATGAACTATATCATTCGTACTTTGTATATATACAGTCATGATATAACAAAATTTATCAAATCATTATACTTCCTTATATTTTTAACTCTCTTTTATACAAAAAAAATGAATCGTACAGTACATTTATTATCACAAGTAAATACTAGTGATGTTTTTTTTGCAATTTGTTGTGTTGATACAATTTTTTTACTATGTTAGTACCATTTTTTTCAGCTGTATTAGAAACCAGATTTGTTCGATGATCTCCTAATGGTATTTTAAATAGTTTGATCTTCATATAATCGCAGATTTCAAGGCAAATTTGAGCATTATACCGGAATAAATCCAGAGTAACCCAAATCTAAAAATACAGATAAACATATAACATATAAAAATACAATATTTAAATAAATATTTAAAGAAAAACTGCAACGCAAAATATGTAAAAATAAAAAACTTACAAAACACAACCAAAGAACATAATATTCTTTGATAAAAAAATTGAAATACTGATTCAAGAACAGCATTGCTGGTCCAATCAGTGAACTGTCTAAATATTGCATTTCATTTTTTGTCATATGTGCAACCTGTAATAATAAACAATACCATTAAATATCTAATATAAAAATTAAATGAAATTATTGATGCTTATATTGTTGATATACTTACCACTAATCGATTAGTAACTTTAGCTGCAACCATTCCAAATGCAAGTATGTACAATGCAGGATGATTTTCATACACGTGCTCAGCACTTTTTCTATAAATTATAAAAGCTGGTACTACCACAAAACTAAATGGAATAATTGGAGATAAAACTGATGTTCCCTGAAATGAAATAAATATTATGAAGATGATAGTAATTAATAACTGTATAAAAGAAATATTAAAATATGCAGTACATCTTCGTAATCCAAATACATTAAATTTAATGTTAGAGTATGTAAAATTAAATAATAAAAAAATTACATCAGCCTAAACGAAATGAATCTCTAAGAAATAAAATAGTATATAAACCAATGCTTTGTATACAAGAAATATGTATTAGTTTTATACAAATTTTATTCACAGAATACATATTTAATTAAACTGTTATATCCTCACCATTATTATAAGACTACATGCGATATATAATGTACCAATCAAAACTACATTCAAATATTTTTATAATCCATTCTATATATTCAAATATAAAATGCAAACTTCTACAAACACTAAAAAAACACTTATAATATAACAAAATTGCATTAAATGTTTAAAATCTATAAATATTGGAATGAAAAACAAAATTCAATTACCAATATATAATTTCTACTTATAACATACATAATAGGTAGCAAAATTAGCTGAACACTATAAAGAGTTAGTTACAATAAAGCGTATAATAACTATAATTATTTGGTTAATTATGTTAAATTACATATTTTTAATAATCCATGCAGTTTCTTATGATATTTGGTGCAAGGATTAGTGCAATCAAAAAATGAATGGGAGTATAAAATGGAAGAAGATATGTATGATTTACTAATATAGAGTTTTAAATATGTAGGAAAAGGTGTAAACCAAAATAGAAACAAAAACACAGTAAACAGTTCCATAGAATGATTTTGAAAATTCTAAACTCAATAAATGATTCAATAAATTGCATAAAACATTTTTTTCTGTGCTGTTACATTTAGTTAATCTTTTAGTTCAGTTACTAATAGAAGGTATTCTTAACATCATAATTTCAAATATATTAAACAAGATGTATCAGATAATAATGTTCAGAAAAATAGTTGATATGTATTTATTTTGTGTTAATAATATCATATATAATTTTTATATATAAGAAAGAAGTTTTTTTTATATAATATAAGTCTAAATCAAAGTAAAATGCAAAGTGCACTACACAATGACTTCATTATTTCTGAACTGACTTACTGCAACGGTGGAGCCATTTTTTCCGACACCACCAGCAAGAATGACGGATATGCTGCTTTGTGCAAGTAAAATAGCGATGCCCACAGCAGCCCATAATGGAAACACCTTGACCTCTGTGCCAGTGTATGGCAACTGTGCAAGCGACACGAAAAATCTTTCTATTAGTTATTTTCAAACATATTTCTAACATATTTCATCTCACAGTGTTGAGAACTTCTTGCTCTTGAAACAATTTCAAATCTTTAAAATATACAGTAAATAATTTGCAATTATTTTAAACATTAATATTTTAATTTTAAAATTAAATGAAAGTAGATTTAACAAAATAAAAGTTGCTATACTCTTTCTCATTAATTCTTATATAAATTTTTTAATTTCATATGAATTGATGTATTTAAGTTTATGTTTTAACATAAATTTGGAATTCATATTACTACTGTAGAATATAAACAATTGTTTATTCATATTAAAAATATTTCTGCAACAAACAGTAAATACTCGAAAAATATAGTTGTAAGCACCTACACAGAAGAAAAGATAAATTTACATAAGAGAAATTACACTTCACAAATTATACTAAAATATAAGCTGTATCCTATCATAGCCTGCACACCATGAAGAAATTTTATACTGTGATAAAGAATGTGCACATAGATTATGAAATAAGATTTAGTAATGCAGAAACTATTTTTTAACATAAATAATAATAACCTAATAGTCTAGATAGGCAAGCAAAATGAAAGAAGATAGATCTCCTTACTATGCTATAGTGACAAAAATATGAGAATTTACATACATACAATTGATGAGCTTAAATTTTTGAAACTTACTGCAATCGTGGAACCGTTCTTTCCGATCCCACCAGATTCAAACACTTTACAGAATTCAAGGAATACATGAATGTAGCCTGCATAAAATAACACTGCTACGTAGTTACTGATTGTGCCTACACCAAGCACTGGCATCTAAACAAATGTACAAAATCTCGCTCGTTATAAAAATTATAGAAATGTAATTATAACTATCCTAACTTTACCCTATATCTTATTTATCTTATATAACTTTTAAGATTTCAACATGAGCTAGTTCCACTTGTGGCCCATTATAATACAAAATGTATCAGTACAATGAAACATCAGGCACGAGGGAGCTGCAGAATATAATAAATTGCAAATGCAAGAATTTTATAATAAATTTTCTATCCATATATCTAATCTAAATATTTTTACATCATACTAATTCAACTTGTAATTAAAATGAAAAATTACATTTTGAATTAATGAATTATGATTATGATGTAAAGTGTAAATTTTATATTTTATATTAAGTTATATGCTTACTACGTTGAGCTAATGCACACCTTTTCATTTCCTTTTTTCTCTTTTTTCTTTGTATCTAATTAAACCCAATCTTTAGATGTTAATTTTGATATGTTTATGTTATGGATCTACTTTATGCATTACAAAATAGTAAATAAATATTAAATAACAAATTTATGCACATAAATCATATTTAATGTTTCATTTACTATATTTTAATATTGTTATTTACTTAATATTTCTTCGATAGAAATTGTTTCAAAAGCATAATTCTGAATATTAAATGTAAGTTGAATTTATACAGTTTTTTGTAATATGAAAATACATCCTAAATATTATTTTCACTATATCACAAATGGTTCTATAATTTTTAATATATTCTCTATTTTAACGAATTTTATGAATTGTAGGTACAAATGCAAGTTATGATACATTTATGATCAATAATGATATGATAGGAAAATAAGAAAGAAATGGATGAAGGGGAATAAATGAGCAAGAAATTTAAAAAAAAAATTGATGTTACAGTAAGTCTTATAGCAAAAAAGGTAATTTCAGCGTCGCTCCTCATGCCATGCTGCTCCCATTTCCATATTTCCCAAAACAAAAGTCTAATTGACTAACTTACAGCCACAGTTGAACCATTCTTGCCCACTCCTCCGGTGAAAATCACCGAAAAGATGCAATATAAGTTTGCCAGTGCACAAATTATTGTCACAACTCCTATTAAATACTTAAACATAAAACCATCTATGTATGGTATCTGTAAGAAATAATCTCGTTAGACTCATGCAGATATTTTCAAACTTTTTATAAAAAAACATGAGTCTTGAGATAAAATATATAAAACTCACTAGAAACATTAACTTTTTCTGATATAAAAAATTTATAATGTATAAAACAAAAATTCTTAGTTAAATTAATCATTTATTAATTAATTAGCTTGTGAAATATTGCAATATATTTCTGTATGTTTTTTTTTCGTTTAAGTTGTAAACAGACAAAAATGATGAAAAACATATAAACAAATAAATATATATATAATATACATATAAGTAAATAAATATATATATGCATATATACATTTATTTATTTATTTATTTATGATGAAATATATAACAAATATGAGAGAAATATGACATAAAAAATAATAAAAGTATGAAACAATATTTGATGAAGGTTCAAATGAAAAGCTTGAATGAACTTAACATTATATGAAGAAATCATAATCTAGTATACCTGAAAAAAATGGAATATTCTGTTTTTAATATTTTATAAAAATTTATAATATTGGAAATTCTTAAATGCAATTATACTAAATATTTACAAAATTTCTAAATTTATTAAAAAATCTGCTATTATACCTTAAAAAATAGAAACGGAAGTATTTTATAACAATCAACTGTTTAGTTACATGTATAATTATATACTTAAAGAGTTAGTAGTAAATTAAACAAATGTTTTATATATAACTTGTTATCAAAGTTATATTGTTTAGTTGATTGACATAAAATATTCAAAAGTTAATAAAAAGAAATTAGAGATATTAAAATAGGTACAACCTCCATCATCCATATTTTGGGTCCAAAAACTGCAGATATGAGGTGTATCATTATAATGCTAAATTGCGCTTCTGTGACATCTATTTTGCCAAATCTTAAAGAACCTAATTAGAAATAATTGCACTTTAATATTAACGGGTTTGACAAAGTTATTTTTATTAATATCTTTAAATAGACAAAGTTTATTACCTGAAACATATGTCTGCCAATGAGCACAATAGAAAAGTGTCATGGCACAGAAGCACTGGAAAAACATCCATGTTGGATAATATCCTAACTGTACTGCTATACATGCTGATAGAGCAATAAAAACTAGAAAAACGAAAATATGATTTTTTATTTATAATGATAAAAATTTAAGATTATGATGTTCTATAAAATATAAAACAAATTGTTTACATTATTCAACAAATGCTATATAAGCTTATGAACCTAAATAACATAATTGTTATAAGAATCATATAAGTTTATTAACTTAAATAACATACCGGTTATAGGAGTCATATAAGTTTATGAATTTAAATATCATACCAGTTGATATAGAATCACATCCATGATCGAATAGTTCACCCAATGGTGTTGAAGTCCCTGTTCTTCTTGCCTGTTTACCATCTATAGCATCCAAACTTTGATAAATAAATAAACCAAGTGCACATAAAAAACAAGCCCACCTAGGTGCCTAAAATGTCAAAGTAACATTGTGTAAGTAATCCATTTTATTCTATTAATAAACTATCCCTTCCACAAATATATAATTTTAGTGTGAACATTACACATATGTATAAAACAAACTTAAACTTCAATATATTCATGTACTAAACTTGGTTCTAACAAGGAATTTTACATGACATCGAAGAATATATCATGAATATGCATTAAATTTTACAATACATTCAAGATTCGCGTTAACTTTTTATATTGTCACACAGGAAATGATATTTGAAGGAAAAAATAGGTTATGTGAACGATACCTCAGTTTTAGCATCTGGACTGTAATATATAAGAATCAAAGTAGTTGCGATGTTGACGATTAAACCCACAATTGTTATTAAATTGGGTGCCAGCCAAAGTGGAATTTTACTAACAAGCCAGTTCCACCAGGGTTGAAGAGATCCATCCAAAAAACTGTTTGTCGTACAGCTATATTTGTGCTCATTAAGGCGTTTCAGTTGTCCTGGTGACAAAAGCTTTTCCTTATAAAACTGCATAATTTGATGTGGCCGAATTACTAAACCACCAAGAACGATTACGATAATTCAACAATCATCGATTCCTCACAACAAAATGGCTAAACATAACAAGTAACTGAACATGTACATCTCTTTCACACTGGTTAAACCGGAACTACAAATGAAGTCTACAAAAATACCATGATTCTTCCGCATGTGTGAATTATTTTTAAATTATATATCGATTACTATATTGATAACATTTATTGTAATAAATAACAAATGTTATTAAGAAAACATCCTTAATCAAAATATGTACATGATATTAATTAATAATGAATTTGTAATGTATTTTAATTTCAAATATAATGTATTGAAAATTACTATTTAAAAATTTCGCGCGCATTTCTACTTGTCTCTTTATATTATCAAACAAAAGAGACATTTTCATTTTTTCCTATTATATTCTTTTCCTTACATTATAAAATATACCTACAACTTCAAATATTATTTTTAATTTTTCAAGTTCTTAAGTTACTATTAAGTTTAAATTAAGCCACTTGTAAATCATGGCGACACTCACTAATTTTGCGAAACTATTTAATTTAGCTACAAATACTTGTATCGAAAGGATTCTTCCCAGTTCAACGTTCAAACAATATTACCCGGGTTTGTCAATATTTAATATAAATATAATCAGATTCATTTATCTATTTAATAATAAAAGATAAAGTAATAAAACATAAAACTCTAGGTTACATAACCTCACATTTATTTAATATAATTTAAAATAGATTTTTAATATTAATTTTTAAGTAAATAAGAGTATAATAAATGTTTCATAATTACCGGCTTTTTTAACTAAATGTATATAGATATTTATAACAAAATACAGGTACAATATTTTGTTTTATGATTATGATTGTTATTGATATCAATATAGTATTAAACTTCTACAGTAATTTAATATAAAAATTAATTTAAAAAAATTAATGAATAACAAAATCTTATTTCTAATGTAAAATACATAAATAAAAAATCATTATTGTAGCACTGAAGTTATGGGAAGTAAGAACAGCTGGTTATCGTAGACAATATAAGTTACCTTGGTTTAAGCCACCACCAAGTTACCAAGAAGAAGTACCTGAACATAATGAAGAAAAAGAAAAAGAATCTATTGGTAATTTTTTATAATGAATATATTGTTGATAAATACTGCTTTCAATTATTAAAATAATGGTCTACATAGAACAAAATTTTTTTTTTATTTTCAGATGTGATTAATGAAATTAATAAACAAATAGCTACTAAATCAACTGGTCGCTTATTTGCAGTTATTCATTTATGTGGAATGCAATTTAAAATCACAGAAAGTGATATTATAACTGTTGAAGGTCATTGGCCACCTCAACCAGGAGACAAATTAAAATTAGAGAAAGTATTATTGGTTGGCAGTGAAGATTTCACACTCATTGGAAGACCTATTTTAAACAGAGAATTAGTATCAATTGATGCAACTATAATACAAAAAACTTTGTCCCATACAATAGTTCATTTCAGAATGAAACCAAGAAAACAATATCGTAGATTAAAGTGTAAGACTGCCACTGACATTATAACCAAAATATTTTGTAATTATTCTATTTAACATTTGTCTACTTTACAGTTTACAGAATACCTAGAACAATGTTAAGAATAAACTCTATAATTATAAATGGAGATATTAACAAGAAAAAAGAAGTTGAGGGTCTAGACAGGATATATTAATAAATAAATGTAAATTATCACTCAAATATATTTTTAAATCTTCGTAATAATCCTCTGATTACTGTTATAATTTAAATATTTATTCAATTGTCACAAAATACAATAGGTATAAAAACAACATAAAACAAATAAAAGATACTAAATAAAATGCTAATAAAGTTGAATATATTGTACTATAAAAATACTAAAAAAAAAAAACATCTGATTGATTAGAAAAAATATAATGGGTTAGATAAATCTAGTATGTATTTATGTTTCGCGCGCAGATATGGTGTGATGTGGAGAAAAGAGTGGGGATCGTAAGCGAATAAGTACTAGGGAAACAGTATGTTGGAACGAGTTGAAGAGAAAAGCTTGTCCATGGACATGAGGAGGAAATAGTTATACGTATCATGAGTAACGAAGACAGAATATTGGAATGACGTCAAAAGCTGCAGCTTCAAGGAGGTTTAAACAAGAGTACTAGTTCGTTCTTCATACCTTGCACTCGCGATAAAAAGTAACGCTGATAGTTCGTATCCTATGACAGTTGCTTATAAACCGTTGCATGGAGTGAATTGGTGTTTTCCTCTTAATAATATGCGAGCACATTATTAAATAATTTGTAATAGCAAATGAAAAGAGACCTTTCTTCATCTATGTATTAGCGTCAAAACGGATGTAAACGCTTTTCCATCGCGTTAGGAAATCGCGTTTTCCATAAAACTATTTAAGTAACCTAAGTGTTGGGTGTCACAATTCAAAAGAAGATGGTGCTTTCGGGATGTTATGGATTCGCCAAATATACGCTACTCTGCATAAATCTCATGTATTCGGTAAGTGTAAAAAATGCATTTCAAAAATATGTTAATAGTTAATACCTGTTACTATGCTTTTTCTCAATGCTATTAGTAAATTTACGTATAAGTAACATTTTAGAAAAATGTATAGTTTGATAAAACAACTATAGATAAAATTTGTTAAGAAATAATCCAATATCTAGTGATGTTATTTATATAACAGCTTGATTGATCAATAAAATTATTACATTCTGTTTAACAATAAAGGGTAGTTTTATTCTTGAAGATGTACAATATACAGTGTATATGTATATGTTCGTTAAATACGCGTACAATTCGTGTGATAAGAGTGGTTGGTTCAATAAACTTAAGTATTTTTTATGTGTAAATGTTTATAAAAATTAACTATTCCAATAGAAACATTTTTACAATTTTAAGAAATAAATATTGTAGAAGAGTTATAAATAATTCAAGTAATCTTTCACTCAATTAACATATGCTTAATATGTAATCTTTAGAAGATAAAAGAAAACTTAAAAAAAAGGGATAAAGAATAAAAAGCATTAAATAATTTCTGTGGTAATAACTCTGCTTAATTCACTCCTTACTACTGTTAACCCAGTGTGTCCAATTTATCTCAAAACATGAAAAATAACAAGAATAAGAGATGTATGAATTTGTAGCATAATTGGATAAATTAAAGTAGCGTTGTATAACAAAAATTTCGCTATTAGTTACTATAAAACAAGTCATTTTATACAATTTTTTTCTTATTAGTTTAAAGCTATCAGTTGATTGAAATATTAGTTGAACAAATTATAAAATATCACTTTTATTATACACTGTATACAATATTATATAATTTAATAGAATATCTTTAATATTTTAGAAAAAAATTGTTTTCAAACGCTTCAAATTTTGTTAATATAACAATCAGCTTTCTCGAAATAATCGAATACTAATTCACGGAATATATAATACGAAATGAAATAAACTAAATGTAAAATGAAGGGATAAGCAGATAGAACTTTAGAGACTTTTTTTTAGTTTATTATTTTGCTGTTTTGTTACCTAGCGTTAATATAACTTGCGAAGCTGAATCGATTGAATTTGGGAGCATTCTGGGAGTTTCTCTTCAAATTCATTTTCACTGATAAAAAATTCATAGAATTTATGTTTTCACTCCATATTATTTAAAATTAGTAACTTTTTATTATTTTTTCTCTAATAATTCTAGTAATAATTCTGTTTATCATATCTTACATCCATTTTCAAGTTTAGAAACAGAAGAGCTTTCTTTATTATTAGCACTATAAGTTTTCTGAACCATCAGAGCTCCTTTAATTTATACCGTAGTTTTCCAGTGTGAAATGAGGTAATTTGAAAGAGCAGTTTAATCAATTGTATTTGGTTAGTGCGTGGCTCGCATTAATCGCAGTTTGCCCTAAATTTTACTGATTCACATAATTAATTCAGCAGATTTAAATGAATGAATGTATACGTGCATTGGAAAATTAATTAATTGCGCGTTGTTGATAAAAATTGATACAAATATGAAGAAAATTAGCAAAAAATAAAACTTATTAATCCATGCAAGTCATATTTAGATTATAGTGTATTCCAAGAGAGTGCGTTATTTTTAATCATGCTTTGTGGAAGCTGAAATCAGAAAATATTACTCAGTTTGCTTGAATCATTAAATTGCTTGTGCCTAATATCAATTGAAGACTCGTCCAACTATCTTACGTCAACATTTTGCTGAGAAATTAACAATAGTGCTTATGTCAGCATCGAGACAAACATCGCATCTAGCTTGAAAATGTTCAACGAATAATAAGTGCGTTTAAATATAGATTTCCAGTCAGAGAACGAATATGTTCGTCCTACGAGTTTGCATCCTACACTACGGCCCCGTTTATTCCCATCTTCTATTATATTTTGTGTCAATACGTGTATTCGTTTTCGTCACTGACCAATCTATCTCAAAAACATCTTCGATCGGAAATCAAACATGGCGGATAACTTATTTCGTGGGAATTAAGTTTGAAAATATTTGAATTGTAATATTTGAATATTTACAGTGATATTTCTGCGATTAAAATACATCAATCACTAATGTTGAACTTGGCATACTTGGCACCAAATAAAGGGGTTAAATGCTTTCGAGGAAAGGTTATAATACCACCTATTTTCCACCCATGTTTAAATTTTATGAAATTTTAAGAAGTCTATCTAGTCTGCTAAATTTATAAGTATAATTTAATCGATTTACATTTATTATCATGTTTGATATTTTCTTGATCATTTATAAAAATTAATTCCATGAATGTTTCATAGAAAAAATTCAATGATGAATATTCGACTGTTTATTTTTGTCGTTTAGAAATAAAATCATAGCACTAAAGGAGAATGTACCATCGATCGAATGTATGTATTTAAATTGCCTATATTATCCGTGATAGTAACGTTGCCTAAATGGTATAACTAGAAATGTTCATACAGGTGTTAAGACCTAGTTTCCCTACTATGGACTTGGACAATCCTGGTCATTTAAACTATTAATCTTTAATAAGCGTAGGTATTACTTTGTCAATATATATGTCACTGGGTTTATAATCTGAAGAATTTATTAATTTACTAATTTTGTGTACTAACTTAATACAGTTAAATAAACCTAAAAAGAAAACAAAAAAAATATTAGAAAAATATATTAAACTTTAAATTATACTGAATACAACTTTAGACGTTAGAAAAAACGAGTTATCACTTGAGTGATATGTAAATTTATTATATAAATTATGTCTTAATGTTTGTTTCTGGTTTTACAATGTGTATTTTAACCAATACGTGATGAGTAGAAGTATCAAACTGTTTTGAATCATTTCTACCATATTTAAACAATTATTTCTAATTTATTTTCAATTAAGAATTACATATTAAGAATTTTGTGAAATTTTAAAATTAAACAAAAGAAATTTTTAAAATATTGGATTCTAAAAGAAATTAAAAAATATTTTTCTTTACCTCACGAAAACTTTATCTGTAACATATAGATATCTTGCATCATCTGTAATATACGAAGTGTAGCTTGTTAAACATTCTAATATGATAATTTCACTTCGTATTAAAACTGCATTAAACGTTTTTCTGAAATACGAGTTAAACGCGATCCACCTCCAACTTGATTTATCATGCTATGTCCGGTCTTTCCGATTGTATCGACGATGAATCCGTTTGACTCAACCGATCCTGTGGGGTTCTTGCATCTGTTTCTTACATCAGCATTCACAGCTCGAACGCGCCGTGAATACAGGAAGTCCTCTGTTTAAACGGCACGCCTCCGTTGGGATTACATGTTAAGTGGAAGTCACGAACATGTTTTGCTAGCTTAACCCACTGAACTTTCAATCCTGATGTCTATTCGTTGCTGTGTAAACTGTTTAGGTTACATTCGAGTGTAATATAACTTACGGGTTGTTTTAAAATTTAAAAGACAACCATGTAAAAATATTCTGTATGTGGACAGATAGAATATAACTCGGTCTTATTATCCTGATAAACGTAGCGTTATATTTATGTAGTAAATAAATCTGTACTTAACCATTGAGTAGATATGCATATAATATCTGTTACGTATGTACAGTTAATGTTTGGTATTGATGATATATATAATTGTTTAATTAGCTTTCCTTAATGCTCTAAAGAAAGTAATGCGTTTTATATCTATATATTTTTATGTACTGTTAATTCTGAATACATTACACTCAATGTTTTGTATTATGTAATTAATATGATAATTACCATAATTTAAAATTAAAAAATTCGAAGACAGTGTAATCAAATTTCTAAATATTCAAATAAAGAATAGAAGATATCAATGTAAGTAAATACTGTCTGTAGTAGAAATAGAAAAAGAAAAAATTCATTTTATATTACGATAAAGTTTTTCCGTTGAAAATTTTTTTTTTTTAAAGTTCGGTCTAGATGCAAACTTAGTATAGTCGGAATGTTTCAAGGTAAGATTTACGAAACAAATACTACTCGGCTGCTGCTGCAAAAAGGGGAGAATGGGAAAGACCAAGCGTTTTAACATGGAAGCGCACACATCTGGTGGACAAGCCATTGAAAAGGGAGCGTCCTGTCCCGGTTCGTCTGTTTCGCAAGAATACTTCATTATTTATCCATATAGCGCATTGTGAACGATGCTTAAGCTGTAAATCAGAATACTCGTTCTGTGCTTTCTCTGTTTCAATAGGGCCGAAGAGGTTAGGTCATATTTTTGCAGGCAAAGTAGGAAACTATTTCGACTATACAATACATCGTTTGCATTTGTAATATTGTTCCTCCAAAAAATGATTCATAAATACGCTTTAATTTATGCGAACATTAGTAAGTATACCATGCAAACTTAACCTCGAAATTATGAATAACAAAGTCAATCAATTTTATTTCTTTTATCTTTTAGTGCCACGTTATATTAAGAAGAAAATGTAGTTTCTAAAATAATTGAAATGGTTATAACTTGGAGATTCAATTCTACAAACTGTAGCAATGATCCAGAAAAGAATGATTTAAAAATGTAAAACTTCTCTACGTAATTCTGTTCAGAATATCAGTCGTGTTATAACGTCCTGTCCCCTCCTAAGGGTGCCAGACAACGGTACCCTGTTTATCATAAAAAGGGTCCTAGTAAACCTTGAAATACTATCGTTCGAGAAATATTATCGCTATCTGTAGTAGCCACTCTGGCAGCTTCTTAGAAAACAACTTGTAAAACCTCTTACTGATCGCTTTACATATCAAGAGTTTCCTATCAGTCCTTTCATGACAATCTATCTTTTGAGAAACAGAGAGAAAAGGATTTTGTAATTATTACTTGCTACTAAATTTTCAAACACTCGTTTTAAAGTAAATTTTTAATTTTTATTTATTATTTTCTCTTCCTTTTCTTTTTTTCTTAAATAATTGAAGGGAAAAAATGGACGAAAAAATTAGTTAATTCAGAATTTTTTATTCGTTACTTTTTTCTAACAAATTTGTATCAGGATTAATTTATTTAAAATAATAAAATAGATCCTTAAAGTTATTCTTCGGTTAAACGTTATTAACAAAATAGAAATTAATAATGAAAGTAAAATAAATAAAAATTTAATTTTCAGGTTGTAGGTCTGACAATAGAAGGTCTTGGAATATGCATACTAACAAGTCAAACATTTCTGATGTCTCTGGCACAAGAGCAGCATAATTTCAACTATGGTCTCTACATCATGATCTTTACCGGGTTCCTAATGCTCGTAGTCGCTTGTCTCGGTAGCTACGGCGCTTTCCGTGAATCCCAATGCATGTTAGTCACTTTCTTTAGCTGCCTGCTAGTGGTTATCGTTGCACAAATCGCAGCTGGAGCCTGGTTATACAGCAACAGTAACCGCCTCGAGGAACTTGTCAAGTCTTCCGTGATAAATACCGTTAAGGTATGGGCCAATTACTCGACTTTATCACGAGCTAAACGCTCGTACTACTATCCGTTAAAGGGAATTTGTAATTAGCCTGGACTCGTTGTCTATGTCCACGCTAACCGTCTATAATTAGTCCATTCGTCTTTCTAAACTGCCTGATCGAACGCCTATAATTACTCCATTCATCATCCTGAATTAGATACTTGTCGATACATCTATCTATTCAAATACATTTCTTTCTAATTTCTTGTCACCTTTTTAAATCTATTGTATGATAATGTTGGATGTATTGCGGATTAATATTTTATTTGTAGAGTAAGAATTCTTGTTAAGAATATTATTACAGTTATTAAGCAGATATACAACATATATGAAGTTCGGAGAATTAATTGGGAATTATTTTTGAACATATGAATTTAAAAACATATGACATAAATTAGACTGCAGTTCATTGTTACCTAATGCGAATATTTTACGATGCAAATTCTCTTTAATAATATAACATAGTTATAAATATATCGCTAATTTTAGTTTATTCTTTTTTCAGAATAAATATGGCGTAGACAATTCTTACACAGAGACCGTAAATGCTTTTCAATCGGATTTGGGATGTTGTGGAGCTATTGGTCCAGCAGACTGGATAGGTAGCAAATATGCGACCAAAGATCCCTCGATTCCTGTTAGTTTAACCGTTTCCGGGGATGCAAATAATGTATACAAAGTACCCGAATCTTGCTGCAAAGACAAAGACAGTGACGCTTGCAAAATAGCCCGGAATATTAAAGTGGCCAGTGTAGTTAGTCCAGCAATTTACAGCGAGGTAGTATTTCTTGTATATTATACCATGTTAAAAAGTTATAAGCAATGGTCAGATTTACATTCTATAGGATAAAGTGTGACTCAGCATTGGAATCACGGCTGGTTGAACGCGTTAATGCACCAATCGTCGTGAAAGCGTGGCCCTGATTAAATCTTACCAACTCTTTTCTTTTTAGGGTTGCATAGACAAGCTGATGGATGCATTGATCAGTCAGAAGAACATTTTAATCGGCGTCTTCGCTGCTATAGGCATTTTGGAGCTACTTGGACTGATACTTTCCTTGGTTTTGAGCTGCCCACTTGGTTCTTGCGACAGTTACAAAGCTTGAATGCAATAAATCTGTAGGCATCGATGTATAATTCTTCCTTATTCTACGTACTGTCGTGTCACAATTTTTTAACTGATATCGCGATATTTGATCTTTGTGCCAATCCGTAGGTTTCTTATATCTGTTCGTAGAATCTGATCAAAATTCTCGAAAGAAAGAAGATTCTCGAGCCGAGATTTCAAGAAAACGAGAATTCTGTTTTAATATCCAAATTGAATCTCTTGCATTGTTTTGACGTAATTATTTATATGCTCCTCGTGAGATTTTTAAACGTTGTATTACTATTATTATCCTGCTCAGGGACGAAAACGACAGATTTTTTACTTGTATGTTTCATAAGTTCGTGATTTTTATTTGTACATATGTACAGGGTGATATTATAACTTAACAAGTTATATTTCTCGCTACTGCAGTTTTTATAATAATCACAGAATCATCCTGTATATTTGTACTCTTTAATTATATGTTCATCATATACAAATTTACTTTTATAGTAAAATATATTTTTGAAATCAAAATGAAAATATTCGGTTCAATATCAAGGAAGGTGCAGATAAGAATTAAATTTCTATTTTCTTACTACTAAATGCTCTTTTTATCTGTACATCTTTTTTTATACTAAAGACTTACACTAAATGAGCATTTAATACTTCACAAAGTACCTATATAATTTACATTTTTGTTAGGCCAAAGTAGTAAACCAAACTAACGTTAATGTGTTAATAATGCAATGTGCGAAAGAAAAGGAGAGCGAGAAAGAAAAAGCATCAGTTGGTTGGATTTTGCGTGAACAATAAAGATGTTGATAAGTCTTTGTTGCAACTGGTATATGCAAAACAAATCACTGTATAGTTGCGAGTACTTGCCAACTCGATTTGTTCTCCAGACTGCCGTAAAATAATTTTATTCTTCCTGTACAGGCACAAAGTGTTTCCAATATGGTACTTTTTTCTGTGTTATTTATTACGTATTTTGGAAACATTTTTGAAGTCTTCTCTAATACATTTTTATAAAAAGAATAGTGAGCCTGGCCAACGCAGTAGTAATTTTTATACTATTTATAATAATGTAAGTTTTATGACTATTGATTATTTATACCTTTTAAATAGTGTTTTATCTAATAATTTACAAGAAGTTGAAAATCTTTGCAGAAGAATTATGAAACAATCAATTTAGGTTGGTCAGGCTTGATATAGAGTTTTAGAAAAGTTATTCCAAAATTACTTAGTTGTTATTAATATACCATTTTTCACATACATACGCAAAACAAAAAAAATATATATATAATATAAAAGATGTTCTGAAAAGATCGATCCAATAATTAATATTCATGTCCAAATGAGATTATATTATTGTAAAAACGCTACTAAGCTGTTTTATCTCTTGTAGCGGTATAGTTTATCTGTGTTATCTTTAAAGTAAAAAAGAAAATGACAAACTTTTAATAGAGAAAATGTGAGAGAGAGAGCGAGAGAGAGACCAAGGACATAGCTAAACAGAAGCAACTAATTTTGTAAGAATTATCTCGTTATTGTAAAAATTCGTGTGGTGTATTTTATCGGTATTTAATGCTTTCAGGATACAGTATTTTTTTAATAAAGAATTTTAGCGAATGAAGTTAGTTAATGAAATTATTGAGCAGTGGATTGATCGGAGATATAAATGTTTCATTATAGAAATTATATATATAAAATTTTGTGGTATACTAAATCGCTGCTGTTCATACGTATAAACTAATTATACGCATGTATGTATTTAAAAAAACTGTACCTCGAATAAATTGAAAATTGTACAGGAATCTAAATGTTATAAAAAACATTCTGACATAACGAGGAAGAGCTGCTTTTGGAATAGTTGTGTCTTAATAGAAATGATTTATAAATTTGATGATGAATATTTAGTATGGACAATGTATAACAATAACAACTAGAGCAGATGTTTATTAATCGTTCTACTAATATTTATTATCAAATAGATTAATATAGGCTAAAATGGAAGATGAGTGTAATGGTACAAAACAAGATTATGGAAGTATTCAAATTTTTTTCTTTTTATGTGTATATTCTGAATCAAAATGTACAGAATACACAGATCATAGTGTCTAGTCTATAAAAATTGAATTCCTAGTTTATTAAATTTATTTCATCTTCGTATTAACACATTGTTTACTATATTTATAATATATCAACAGACTAACAAACTAGTATAGTAGAGAATATTGCACGATTATGTGTAAATATAAATTTATTGACGGAAAATATTACTGGTAACCAATGTGTTAATTTATTGCTTTGCTGTAATATTATTTTTTGCAGTTTTTCTCTCTCTTCTTTTATGTATTTAAAGGTATGGTGTATACAATAATGATATATACTTCTCTTTATTAACCAGAAATTCTTAAATTAACATAAAAATATGATGAACTGATTTTATTTCATATCCTTTTCCGTCTAATTTTTCGTAGCAATTATTAGTATTTTTTGATGATTATAATATTTGAGAAATTCTGGTTAAATCAATAGGTAATAGTTATGTGTATCTATATATACATATATATACATACATATTCATATATATGCACTTATATGTCTGATGTTACATGTAAAAATGAACAAGAATTAAAGATATAGAAGCGGTTATATCGACTATAAAAGAAAAAGAATTGTCCAATGAATAACTAAAAGGCAGTGTCTTGATTACTATAAATTATGGATTGTCCATTAAGCACGTTTAGAAAACAAAAAATGTTTTTATCAATAATTGTCATGCATTCATAAATAATGTTTAAGTTTGGTTTAAATAAGCTGAGTTCTAAACATTTTTTAATTCGATTTTCTTATAAAATTATTAAATTGTAAGCTATTTATTTGGTGACCATAATATTTACAGAAAAAGTGATGATATGAAATTTGAGCACAGAAATTATAAATTCGAATCCTAAGATATCTTATTACGTCATTTGCTATTGTAGTTATCGTACTCGCTGCGATATAGAATCTTAATTGTACTTTGCTTTACAAGGATGGATTTGACAAGAATCTCTAAGAACTAACAATTATAATTACTGTTACACGTACGTCGTTGCATCATCTTTGTGTGTTAATTATTGTAAATTCCGTCGGTTTCTTGCTTGCACGATCTTTTTTTATGGAAAAAGAAAGAAAATATACGAGCGATAGAAATGATCTGACAAATCATAAAACAAAGAAAACGGATAAGGAAAAGGAGATAATATATCTATTCGGATACTGTTTGAAAATATGTATTTAGAATCAATATTACAAAATATTGTATAAAATAATTGCACTCTCAAAAAAGAAAAAAAATATATCCATAAAACACATTAATGATTATCACTCGTATAATCATTCTTGATTTTGATATTAATATATTTATATACACTTACATAAACGTATATATACATGTATATACATATTTTCTTACTGATTTTTAAGCGAGATATTTTCATTCTCACTGATTTATCATTTATTCTTTTTAAAACTATTTATACACTGCATATTATATGTTTCTATAAAAGACAGAAATACACAGTTCATTTTGATATGATTCCTTTTAACATGCGATTATAAGGGATAAGACGGTTTTAAAGATTAATTTTTTTACGTGTATCTCTATAAAGAAATCAACTCTGTTCGGTGCACTTCTAATATTAAACAAGTGGTATTACATTTGCCATATTTTATGAATTAATAAACAGAGCTAGATATGACACATTTTAACATATACATGATTCCCGAGTGTTCGTTTATTTGCAAAATTATGTATGTTATGCAAGTAAATATTACAAAAGATGTTCAAAAATTTCAATATACACTTAATGAAACCATTCTGAGTTATTTTCCTATCCTAAACCTATAACCACAATATCTTAAGCAGAATTTGTCATGTATTGCTTTCTTTTGTTTTTATTATTTAAGCTATGTATTTATTATTTAAGCTTTATTATACGTTTTCAAACTATCTAAGATACGTTTCAGCATAAAGTTCTTTGATTGCTTTTAATATATCAGTGTTATGAGAAATTAAAATAACAATCACGATCATAGAAACGCATTGACGCATACAAATTCGTTATTAAATATTTCATAGCATGCCACTTAGTTTATACAGTACGAAGATTCATTTGAATTCCTAGTACTCACTGGAACGTGTACCATAACATGAATATTGTATAATCTTTATCCCTTACAATATCCCTTATAATATTATAATAAAAGTACAGTAACTATAAATAATCGTAGAAACTAATTTAAGTATCAGAAGAAGTTAAATACTGTTTTATATTTCGATATTTTTTTAACTTTAATTTCTTATTAATAATAGATTATTAATAAATTTTGGCAATATTTTATAAATCGATCTATAACAAAGTGCGATGTGATAATTTTATCAAATTGTTTAAGTAAAAAGACTAAATAAGTGGTGAGCACAAAGCGATTCTCTGTTGCTTATCAATGAAAGTAAATAAAATCGACACTAGTGATGTGTTTAACACAGTTAAGTGGAGACTTTAATAATATAAATTAAGCATAATGTTTCTCAGACTTAATTTTCATTATTAAGTTTAGAATAGCATTTCAAACATTTGAAATATATTATAGAGGCTTAAAATTTATCGACAAGAAATTACATTCTAAACAAGCTCTCATTTTACAGAAATCTACTTTATCCTTGATGGAAGATAAGAAAAAGCAGCTTATGTGTAATTAAAGATCACAATGTAAGGTTTCAAAAATAATATCGCGAGATAACTTCCGCGAAGGAAAACTTTTTTTTATTAAAATTATCCATACATACGTATTCTATTGATTACTAAACACTTTTATCGATTTCTATCAATCGTTTTTGCACAATTGCGTAATCTGTTTCTTCTGAACAGAGGAATTGTTTTTGCGAATGCAAATAATTCGTCCTTAGCAATATCGTACAAATGTTTGCATATTATAATGATTTTTATCCGGTTGCTTACGTATTCAAGAAGTTTCTTGACGTTAAAATAACCAGTAAACATTTATTCACTTTCTACTAAAAACTCGCTGTAAAATTCAATCAACCAGCTTTCAGTAAAATGATTAAAATGAATAATTTTAATTAGTCATTCATTTTTATCGATGAAAGTAACAAATTATTTTTATATTCTATTTTACACATTTGTGACTTAATAATTGGCACTATTATAATTGTTAAAAATTAAATTATTTATAACAAAATATTATAATGAGAAAATTCGTTTAATTATTCTGCAAATGATCCGATATCTCAAAATAATAAGCTAAAAGTACGTCTCGATGGTTAAAGCTTATGTCATGCCTTCAAATTTTAATCACCTTGAACTGGAACGTCGTTACACACATACATCGTATATATGCAAGGTAAAAGATATCGTTAAAAGAACAAACGAGTCGTTCAAAAATTCATCGAAACTCTTCTCAAACTATTATGAAAAATAAGAGAAATAATAAAAACAATTTACTCGGTCTAATATTATTTTATACAATTAGACGATATTTTTTTAAAAACAGAAGAAATTTTAATTCCTTTCTTTCTATCCTTCCATAACAATTTTATAATCTTTTAACAAGAAATTTAATTTTTCTTTCGCTTTTGATATTATACCTTATTTATTAATTGAAATCAATTTCCTTTAAGCTGGAATCGCAACATTTTCATTGAATTTCTCCATTTCCATCTTCGAAAATAACACACCTATACTCCCATTTGAAGTACATCCATTCAAATTGTATATCCGAAACTGCTGCAGTACGCGTACTCAAAATTTGGGCCAGCCTCATCGTCGCTGAAAAGCGAAGCTCTAAAAAAAGAACGCGCGCTCAGATGAAAAAAGACCAATGAGAGAAAATGGAAAAAAAAGGAAAGATAAAAAACGAACTAGAGAAAAGCATGAGCTCGACACTCATGAAAAAGGAGGGAAGCGAAGGAACAAGGAGAAAGTGAGAAAAAGTGTAGGAAGGGTTGGAAGGAGGGAGCACAGGTGCGGCTGCTACGTCCAGAGCGCCTTCAAGTGTAATGCTGTCCGTCGTGCAGCGAGGAGAAGTCCTCTTTTCTGTTTCGTTCCAGCCTGCCATAATATTCCGAGCATTTAGTGACTCGTTTTGGTGTTACATTCCTTCAACAGGTTGGTCCTCCACGTTGCTGGTCAGTGGACCCTCATATTACCTGAGTCAGTGAAATTTAATTGCAGTTTAAGTTCTTACGCATTGTTTTATCAAAGAATTCATTAATGTTACTTAACTTGAGAATATATCAGAAGCCTTAAGGTGAGATTTGGGTTTGGAGGATTCAGTAAAAAATGAAAACAAAGAGATTCTTTTGGTGATTCCTGTACAAATTCGCCGGTGAACTTGGATGAATCACGACCTCGTTTCTCCTCCTCCTCTTCCACCGCCACTCCCACCACCTCCTTTTACTTCGAACGGTGAGTACCATTGATGCTTAAATAATTATTTATTTTTGGACCGGTAAAACAATGTCTCCAAATGATATTAATTTTGGCGTATGTGTAAAAACACTAAATTTGTCAATTCTATTTTTATTAAAGTTCCATAATACAAATAAATTTATATCGTAATACCTTGAGTGTCATTAATTATAATACAAAAATTGTAATTAATATTTTATCAGAGTTGAAAAATTGACAGTTTAATTATTCAATGACTTAGTAAAAAAGAAAATTAAAACGTTACATAAAATACTTTATATTAAAAATTAAAGAATTCTAATAGCTGAAATAAGAAATAATTCCAAGTATTTAAAATATTTCTGGACATTTTATTATCAAATTGGATGCTTTATTATCCAATTTTCGAACTATATAAAAAGCTATAAAAAGTTATATATTCTACAAATAATTGTATTTACTAAAACGCAAAATTTAATTATCGTAAACATAAAATTACATAAAATTAAAATTTTAATCTAAAGAAGTATGTTAAAATATTTCATAAAAAACAGTTTTCTAAAACTAGAGAAGTATTCTCACGATAACATTTTGTACTCAGTATCACCTGTTGCGTGGGTGAGCTAGTTTGACGTTTTATAAGTATGACTCGACGACCTACTTCACTTTTATCATTCATGCGATACAGTCCATTCTTAAAAAAAAAAAAAAAAAAAAAAAAAAAAAAAAAAAAAAAAAATACAGATTATTTTGCACCACATATGATTAAGCACAAAATATTGTTTAACCTACACATTTAGTGATAAAAGCTATTTTTTATATTACTCATGAAAATCAAAATATTTCTACACAATAACGTAATTATAGTAACTATTCAGAGTGTCCTATATTACAACCGTTTAACATATTCATAAATATTGCACAATACATATATCTTATTGACATGTAATACAATTTTACATCTACTTTAAAAAGTTCAAGAATAGTATAGATCATTTGTATCATTAATAAACACAGTGTTATCTTTCACTTATTGAAGTAAAGGCATTAGTTTACTCTGACTTCACTTTTTTCGCGGTATCAATGTTATTGAATGTCTATTCAGCTGATATTTATTCATTAAATATTCTACCATCGCATGATCACGCGTTGCGTTTCCACTTAAATCATCCTTGATGTGTTCAACACACGAGTCAGCAGCATTTCCCTTATTCTTCTGTATTGCAGTTTCGGTGGTCGGTTTATTTTTAGCGTTTAGTTTTCTTCTTTTCGGTTTAAAATCTTCAGGACACGTATCCGCGGTGATGGAACGTTTCCTTTGTTTTTTATCCGACCATTTTTCTTCAATAATAATAATCTCTGGAGAGTTTTGACTTAAAATATCATTCTTTCTATCTTTCGCTTTTATTTCATCGGTGTCTTTAAAAATTTCTATCCCAGATTCATTTATTGATTCATTTAGATCATTACAAATTCCAGTATTTATTGTTCTCTTTTCTTGAAAAGAGTTAGAAATATTATCTTTAGAGCAACATGGTTCTAAAGATATCATTCCTTTGTCTAAATTGTATTTATCCAGCAAAGAATTCGTTATCGTAAATTTGCTTGTTTCTATCGCGACTGAATTATCTTTTGCACGTTTTACTGTATCTCTTGTGCTAGTTTGATTGCAATCCTCCACTAACCGTTCTCTAAGTGAAATACTTTCAGCAAATGATCGTTTCCGCTTATTTCTTACCAACTTTTCATTAAATTGTTCAATACATTGTTTATCATTATCATCATCCATGATAACAATTTTACTCAAAGTTTTAGATATTTTACATTCTACTTCTAGAATATCTTTTGATTGTTCTTTTAAATTCTCATTAACATCAGCACTAAGAATTCAAGAATACATGAAAATTATTTTATTTTAGAATTAGTTATTAATGATACTCACATGCTGTACTTTACTCCTTCAACGTGTTCTGAATATGTAATAAACTTAAGTGTTCTGATCCCTACTGCTTCCTCATTTTTACAAACATCGCAGTTCATTTTACAAGACGATGTTACGTATCCGAAATATCTACTAATGATTTCATGCCGGCATCTAAATAAGATTTTATTATTTAATTTTATGAATTATGGAAAAAGAAATATTTCAATTAATTTAAGCTTCTTACTTTACTGAAAGACAGTAAGATATCATTTTTTCATATTCATCTAATCGTTTTTGAATATGTTGTGAGTTGTTCATTACTCTGTGATTTTTAATAAGCAATTGTACAGCAGAATATTCCTTTACACTAAAATATATTCTACAATATGCATTACCATTGCTTGAATCTATTTGAGCACTTTCTCTATAATATTTGGCAATATTTTCAGGTACTGTCCAATAAACTATACATCTGATTAAATAAATATTTTGTAAATTATTTAGAATTTACTAAGATACTGAGAATAAATATTATTTTTCCTGTTGTGACATATGCAAACCTAATTGATCTTTTATGAATGAATCCATAATCATATGTTGTAATAATAACATGAATTTGACCAAATATCCAATTATTTTCAATATTATGTCGTGTACTATTTTTCAATTCTAAAATATATTATAAACATTTACTTTCAGATTCTGGAATATAAACATTAATAACTTAATTTGTAATTTTCTTACTATGATGATAGATTAGCGTAGGAATGCCAAGATTATATAATTTGGTTTTTAATAACTCTGCAGTAATTACTTCTCTACAGTAAACAATGGCAAAACCTTTATGTGTCTAAATGCAAATAATCATTATAAATATATAATTCATAGTCACAAAAATGGACAAACAGATTTACCTTATGTGTAGATAGATCTAAAAAACCAAGTACTTCTATGATAAAACTTTTAAGATGATCAAATGGATGAGAAAGTATATCTATAAACCACATATCATAGTGTACATTGATCTGTTGCACAGGCATTTTAAAAATCTTAGGAGTTTTTAATGTTAGTTGTTTGCAAATATCTTGAATTACCTGTCAAAGTATTTAATTGCAAAGAACATTTGATGATAATAATTTTAGCTATTTCTATTACCTCATCAGTAACTGTTGTAGTTACTGCAATTTTAGGAATATATTCGTATATTTTGTCAAATGTATTTATTCTTTTATAACAGGGGGTATAATCATATCCCAATTCACTTAAACAATGTGCTTCGTTAAATACAATGTAAGACAATATCATACGCTCTTTCAATGAAACTATAAGTTGCTGTTAATATATTTTCAAATTAATTGTCTATTATTTTAAAAAGTTTGAAGTATCATTTACCTTAAAATATGTCATAGTATCCATTTCAAGAGTTGCATATAATAATACTATTGTTGGAGAATTTGATTTTAAATTGTTTAAAATATTATTTCTTTCATTTATTTGTATACCTTTATATAGCAAACCAACATTAATTTGTTTGCTTTTTAAAAATTCTATTTCTTTCTAAAAATATTTGAGCATTTAATATATGGACATTTTTGAATCAACGTTTCAGAGATAATGAAAATTTTACCTTAATAAAAGATAATTTTGGAGAAAAAACAATTCCAACTTTGCCTTTACATAGAAGAGCTGGTAATTGAAAGCAAAGAGATCTACCAAATCCAGGAGGCATGGATATACATACATATTTTGAACCTACAATATTTTTACATGACTTTTAATTTAGCTTCTTAAATCAAATTTTATAATACCACTAGCCATATCAGGAAAATATTTTTATTGCAGTTTATTACTATATACTTTCATATAGAAAGCATTATATACATTTGATAAAATAATCTTAATTGTTAGAAAAAGTCTAATATAAAGAATGACAATTACAAAAAACTTATGTAAAAGAAATACTAACCTTCGCAAATAGCAACAATAGCTTCTTTTTGAACATCATTTTTGAAATCTTCATATCCAAATACAGATTTTAAAAGACTCATTACACTACTTTCTTGATTACACATTTTTTACACTTTTAATGAAACTATAATAATTAATTGTTAATTAAGTAAAAACCATCATCTGTAAAAATAAATTCGAAATACCCTTCCTACTCACTTGATCAGGATAAACTAACCTTACTGGTTGAATGACATGAGGTTTAAAATTTATTGGTTCCGCCAAAATGACTCAACCTCAACCAATTAGAAGCCACAATTTCAAATAATTGTTACGTGAAAATGTACAAAAACAAATTCTTTTTATTACAGATTTAAAAGCAAAAGAAAATTTTAAGAAATGAAGCTCAATTTTAGAGATTAAAAAAAAAACTTCGATAAAAAATGAAAAAGACAATGTTTTTAGCTTAACAATTATATTTACCTCCATCTGTATTAGCAAATGAAACTATACGTAAGTTGCACAGAAATTAAGTAAAACTATTGTTGCTTTCTTAAAACTATGAATAATTTATGTTTTAGATGCATAATGAAGAAATTTTACGCAATATTTCTTTTAATATGTGCAACCACCGCTGAATTACCCAATAATTGTAATGATCCTAATTGGCATTCATTGGTCACTTTAAACGACGCCAAATTAGCTTGCGGGCCATCTTTTGAAAATCGTTGTTATTGTATGAGAACGTGTTACGAGAATCATCATCAATATGTTGTTAATTGCACTAATTCTGGATTTCAAAATACAGCACCATTATCACACTTGCCGAACGAGACACAAGTAAAAATATTTTGTTAAAGATTAATGTTTTTGTCGTTTATAACCCTAAATATAAAATAATATATTCATTTCTTTTTTAGGTGCTCATTTTTACCGGAAATAATCTAGAAGAACTTCCATGGAACGTATTTGGTAACCTGGATAGTTTACCTTATTTGAGAATAATCGATATGTCAAGGAATAAAATAAGAGAAATTCGTGGGAAAGCGTACCACCACGTTCAACGCGTCGAACGACTTATTTTAGACTTCAACGAGCTCTCGCTAGATCCAGGAAGGAGTCATCCCAGAGTGTTTTCCAATTTTGTATCCCTTTTAGAACTCCATTTAACTCATGCCTTTGAAGATGGTCCACCAAGAGATCTTACAGCGACATTGCATGATATTTTTGTGAATAGGTATCTAATTAATAGATATTAATTAGATCTATAAATTTACGATCTTATTAATAATATTTTATAATTTTTACAGTAATTTAACACAATTGATAAAACTCCATTTAGAACAGAATGAAATATCAGAGTTCCGAGACTCCAACGTATTCTGCGACCTTCCGAATCTCTTAGATCTCTATCTGGGAGATAATGCATTGGCTGCCTTGCATTTTAACATATCCTGCCTGCATAAATTACGCTTCTTGGATCTCCAACGAAACAAATTCACAAAAATCGCCGAACACGATCTACACGCTATGGATGTGCTTATCAAGCATAATAAAAGTATAGCAGTAGATTTTACCGGGAATCCACTTGAATGTTCCTGTAAACTTAACCCTTTCATTAAATGGTTGAAAAAGACGAAAGTATTTGTTCGCAATAAGAGCCGCTTAAAATGTTACGAAGGTACTTGGATTAAATAGAAATTAGTGTCTGCTTAAATATAACATGTATTTAAATATACTTATTCCTTTATAGGTGAAATATCTCACGATGTACACGAAACGAAAAACTGTGCGCCGAAATTGTTTTCATCAACTCCACGTGGCGCAACTATAATATTATTTTTACTTTCTATAGTGTTGATAGGACTTGTGTGTGCTTTAATTTATGTACAACGCACAAAATTACAAAAGAAAATCGAGCCCATATTAGACTCAGTGAACAAGAGGGTGCGATACACCTCAATAGCAACTGGTGATACTCGGGAAGATGTATAAATAAAAAGAAAACGTCCTTAACTTAGCAATTAACAGAAAAAAGTTTTAACTTTAATAAACTATTAAGGAGATTTTTTTAATTGTATAGTACACAAATACTTAATTCTTTTGTATTATAAATAGCTTAAAACTGAATAATGTACCGAGGCATTAATATTTATAATCCTATAAATTAGTGATTAATTTTAGAATTAAAAAAAACGAATAGAAATATCATTGAATACAATTTTTCTAGCTAGTTATCGCGATAGATATCGTGATAGATTTGTTAACTTAATAATTTTAAATGAATACATACAATTTTGATATCGTTATAATTTCGAATAAGTCTAATGACGAATAAATGTTACATATATTGTATTTCTACTTCTATGTGTATAATTTAATCTAAGCGTTATTTGTTTATGGATACCGTTTAATTCTATACCCACTTTATCAAAAAAGGAAAATGTATACATACAACATTCTTATGTTCGCTGGTACTTATCGTTCGCTATCAGACCATTGACATCTTGAACAAGATTAGATAATACTTTAGACTAGTAATATCCGTAGTATACTCCTGTAATTGCAAGTGCATTGGTGAACTTAATTTATTGGTTTTTATACAATAAAGAATGCCGTCAGTTAAACGACTTCGTCTCGATGAAGTCGTCACATCATTTCCAGAATTGGGACCCACAGTTCCAGATGGTGGTTACGCATGGATTGTTCTTTCCGGAGTATTTTTAGTCCAGGTATATCCACTAAAATCAGATACAAAAATCTAAATAAAATGACCAAGACCAATGGTTATTTGTATTCCTTTTAGTTTAATAGTTTAATAAAATTAATATTATACAATATTTATACAGGGTATTTAGAACATAAATATTCAATGATTCATCTCTATTAATATAAGATACAGTATTATATGAGATATTTTAAAATAATATTTAAAATGTCCATTAAAAAGCAGAATATTTATAAAAGGGCAATGAAACTAATAATCTGTTTACAGGTATTACAATACGGTCGTCTTAAATACGGTAATGTCGTTTGATATTTTTCATAAAATCAAAATGAATCACTATCGTTTTATTGTGAATACATACAAGTATCATACTTTTAAAAAGTTAGGTAAGTATAGAACTTTTTTTGTTAAATTTCTTCTAAACACCCTGTATAATAAAATCTTATTATGAAGATTAATCCATTTATCTTTGTTATGCTTTCTTACTAGCGAGAAAATTTCGTCATTATTTCTACAGATGACTGTCCCTAGTATATTAGCCATGTACGGAGTAGTATTAGCATATATATACGAAACTAAATCTATGGATCTTCACATATGGAACGAAAAAATTTTTCTGACGCCTATACTATTTACTGCTTTTTGGAGTCTAGCAGGTACCTAGATAGATAGAGTATAAGATTCGCTATGTCAATGGTTTATGGGGAAATATAGCAGAAATGTTTTTCAATAACGAAGTATATAAATATTTCTTTTTTAGATCCTTGGACGAGAATAATTGTGAGCATAGCGTCGATACCCTGTTTGGTAGGTCTAACAGGAGTAATTTTCTTGGTAGTCGGAATTATAGCATCCGGTTATCTCGCAACTGGTGGAGTTGGTGCTTATTTAACCAGCATCAGTGCAGGTGCAATAATGGGTATAGGCGCCAGTTTTGTCATTCTATTGAGTGACTATATTTTGAGGAAATACTTTAGGAAAAAGCTTTTAATAGCTTTGATGTTAAGAAACGTTGGCTCTTCGTTTGGTCTTCTACTCATTCCAAGCATCACGAATTTGTTGTTGCACGAAGCCAGATTAAAAACTGGTTTGCAACTAATAACTACGATGTTATTGCCCACTGCACTGGGAACATTGACTTTTCGGTTGCCTTCTATACAACAGACATCTCCTTACAGGTTCTTATTAAGAATACTGTGAACATTAACGAAAGGTGGAATGAAAACATTAATGTTTAATACTCAAAATAAAAATTTAATCCAATGTTAACTTACAGTCTTCTCTTATCAACCGAAGAAGACACTGAACTTCCTGTAAGAATCTCTTCGGATGTTCATGAAGAATCGCAGCATCCGAATGATCAAGATGACATAGAAAATTTTGAATATAATCAAGCTGATGATAAGATACATGGAGGAGGATTACTCAGCGAAGGAAATAATATTTATGCTTACGAGGATATGGACGAAGATGTGGATTTATTTATAAATCCAATGATCCATATGGACAATAAATGGAAACATCAACTTCGAGTTCTTAGGGATTTCCGATTTTGGGCTGCAACAATTGGCTGGGTTGGGATGAAAGTGTCTGCTCTTTTCTTTTGGCTTCTGTTGCCCGTTTTATCTTGTGAAGTAGTAAATAATTCCTACCTTTGGATGTCTTTATCAGTTGTGGCTGGATTCAGTACCTTTTTACCAAATTTTATCAGTTATAAAACATTAAAATTTAAAAATCAGAATAGAAGATTATTATTTGGTACATCATCTTTAATTTGTGGTTGCAGTTTATTAGGCATGTAATTTCTTGTACTATATTCTCATATTTATTGGATAGACTTGTGTTTTAAAAGAAATATATTTTCAGGACTAATTCGTGTAAATAGTTACTCGGGGCTCATGATTTTTGCCTTTTTGGGAGGTATCAGTATTGGTAGTTTATCAAGTTGTCAGGATTTAGCTTTATACGATGTTCTTGGCTCTGAAATGGTTCGTTCCATCGACAGAGGATTTTCAACTATCGTGGGTTTATCCATTTTTGGTTTTTACTTCATATACAGTAAGTTCTCGTAACAAAATTTTATTTCGGTAAAAGAACGAATTAAAAACTATAATCGTAAAGGTGATCGAAATGAATATAAGATAAAAATGAATTTCTGATTACAGACATAAACCTTTGTTTGAGTCTCGCAGCGCTTTTACAATTTCTTGGTGGACTCTATTGGATCTCGACGCCTGCTCTGAACTTACTTAAAGCTACACGTTACACTTCTCGCACGGTGGATAGAGCAAGCAGTGATGAGATATGATTAAAATAACTCTACGAAATTAATATAAGAATATCAATTTTACGTTACATCTTAATTTAATTATATTTACAAAAGTATTTATGTTGATCACAACAATCTGTTTTCTCTAGATACATCTAACATTAAAAATAGCATTCATAGAAAATAAACAATAGGCTTATAATATTGTCTAATATAAAAGGAATAAATACGATTAGATAAAAATATGTTTTCTTGTTTTAAATAAAAATGATAATAATGGCTAAAATTAGATATAAAAAATTGAACACAACATTTATATAAAATGAAAATATCAGATCTTATTATTCAAAAACGAATATCTAAATATTTTATACATATTTGTTTAACATGTCCTTCTATCTACTAACTGCATAAACATTGATCATAAATAACAAGAAGAGTAGACTACGAATCATATATGTTATTTAAAATCCCATTTTCTACACGTTTTTATATATATATATATATATATATATGTGCGTATATCTCTATGCATATGCCTCTGTGTGTACACAGACATATATGTATACGTATACACGAATAAAATATGTATTTTTATTATATGTTGCAATATCCTATACTATCGTAGATCAAATATAACAATGTTTTGCCTTTAAATTACTTACAAATATATTCTTGTACATACATGAAATAAACTGTTTTTAAAATAAACATTTTATTATTGTATGCATGATGAATACGTATAACTACCATAGAGTAATATCTCTATTCAAAATGTAAAAAAGAGGAAAGAAGAAGAAAATATAAAATTTTCAATATCAATCTATCTTTTGAATTATTTTGTAATCTCTGAGATCGCAAAATTCGTATTTTATTGCTTAAGCAAACTTAGACGATTATATGTTTTGTTTGTCAATATACTTCTTATTTCCATTATTATACTCACAACTTCATTATATTTACATTTTCCTTTTTGTATATATAAAATAAATGAAAATAAACACTATAGTTAAATTTTGTAATGTAAGTCGTTCATTTCCAATATTACAAAATACTCTCATATGCAAAAGTCATTGGTTATCTCTCTACTTTTTTGTTAAAATTGATTATTTTGAGCAATAACTTTTGTATAATTTCTTTAAATATCATAATTTTTTTCTTTCTTTTTATTCATCCAAATATATATATATATAAAATTTTGTTTCAGTTACAATAAAAAAATATATAATTCTATCAATTTGTGAAAGTAAATCACAGTATAATCATTTATTTACAATTAGCAATATTTAGATATTATTAATTATTTCAATTGAGATTCTTAACAATTTGATAATATTGCATATGGTCATATTAGTTTTACTAATATTGAAAAGAGACAATTCAATACAGTCAGTATAAACAACCACTCTGACAATGAATATACGATTTTATAAATAAAATATGCATTTAACTATTCGCTGCATTATCATTTGACTATGTACATACATATACTGAGCAATAGGAGTACATCTGTATCTTTTTTTAAACTCAAAATACTTATGCTTGTAAAGGTTTCCTTGTAATTTCTCAAGGCTTAAATTAATAATATCTAAGAACTTGATTTTAATATGAGAAATGAGAAGTATCGATAAACTAATGATTCGAAGCACGTCTTTTAAAAATTTACTTTTTTACATCAAAAATATATGTATTTAAATTACATTTAAATTTTAAACCTGCACGATTTAACCTGAGTTTGTGAGTTTCAAAGGAAATTTACGTTTCACCACGTTCAGGATCCTTTTCTTTCAAACTACTAGGTCCTGCATGATCTGAAGATTTAGAGCAAAAACCATTCAGCATTCGATTATATTGTTTATATTCGCTAACTGGTCTTGGATTATCCAACTGATCATATTCTGATTCGTCATTATTTTGCTTGATTTCATCATAAACGTGTTCAATTTTTTTTCCATCCATTTCATCGATACTATGGTATACATTAAGATTTGGATTACCCATATCTGCATCTCTGTTCTTTAAATCATATCGATTATACGAACCTGAAAATAAAATATTGAACAAAACTTAACTATCCTTTCTTTAGGAAATGCAGTTTAATCTTTCCTACTATTTGCAATGATACCTTTGCAATCATCTTCATCATCTGTACAACTATTCATTCCAAGCTTAGCTTTTTCATTATTTATTTTCTTACTGGTTCCAAGATTATTTCTGAACTGGAAGTTGTTTAACAATGTAGTGGTTCCATCATCAAATTTAGAAGAACCTTGATAGGCGTATACGGGATTATCGAACTGTGTTTGTTCTGCATAACATATATTAATGATATATATTAATAATAATTATAAAAGCACTTTCTAAGTAAAAATAGCGTTTTTTCAAATATGTACCCGGGGGGGAAGCAGGTTCAGCGATATACTGTACTTGGGCAATTTCATTTTTCAAATCTGCTACTCTACGTCGATGATATAACCATCCTGCCAAGGTCATTACCATAACAACGATCGCAGCAAATAAAAATCCTGTTATCATACTACCATAACCTGTTTCATCTTTTTCTTGTACATTACGCGAAAATAATTCTTCATCACAGTTTGGACCTAAAAGAAAATTTTTCAATATCAATTAAGATAATTTAATATTAATAGATTTAAATTAATATACCTGAATATCCATGTCTGCATATGCAACCATCAACAGGGTGACAAATGTAATAATCGTTTTTGCAATCACAAGGTTCCATGCAATGATCGCCATAATATCCTTCTGGACAAACTAAATTTACAAATATAAAAAATTTATGTCATAATATTTCATTAGTTTTTCTACAGAATTATTTTGTACAATTTTTTGCTTTCACATACTCTCAGTACATTTGGTTCCAGTCCAACCAGGTGCACAACGACAGTGACCATCATTAGATCTGCATTTGCCTCCATGTTGACATGTACAATGTTGACTGCAGTTCATTCCATACGTCCCTTCTGGACAGGATACTTGACAAAACTCACCTTGCCAACCAGGTCGACACTGACACACACCTGAAGTGATATTATACATAAAATCATAGGAAAAAGTATGTAATAATTAAAGTTAATAGTAATTTAAAATTAAAATAAGATATAAGTATAATACAATTAGAATTGGAGAGCTTAAAAATATGTTAGTTTTTGAGGATCGTTTGATAATAAAATCAAATTTAGATCAAATATAACTAAAAAAATGATAGAAAGAACTTTACCTGTTACATGATGACACTCTCCACCATTTTTACACCGGCAACGACTGGCACAATTTAATCCATAACGATTAGGTGGACAAGGATGCTCGCAAGTTAAACCTAAGTATCCAGGTCGGCAAACGTATTCACCAGTGACATGATCGCAGGTCACATTTCCTGAAAAATAAAATATTTCACATAAAACTTAAATTATAAATTATGCAAATATCATATCATATTACATTTTTTTAATTTATTGTGAAATGATAAAATGTATGCCTCTACATAAGTTATATTATAATAGGAGTTATCGGATAGCTTAATAACTTACCAGTTTTTTGAAGTTTTAAGTAAGACTACAGAAATAAAAAATCACCAAATAATAATATTTATTGCATTAATAATAAAAGCGTTATTTCACTATTTCCATGCTAAAAAATTTATGTACATGCTCAAATACAAATTAATTAAACTAATGAATTACATATGATGAACGCTATATTGCAAAATGTAGTACAAAAATGCATTTTGCATTAAAAGTTACTGATCAAAAATGTTAATAATAATTTCGTTTTAGCAGAACTGCGAGAGCCTGATTTCACTTGCAACTAGTACTGTTATTTTTACCTTGCATTTTCTCCGGACACTTTTCGTTACAGCGTACCCCGTACCACCCTTCTTTACAGGGTTGAGAACAGTCAGGACCTTCCCAGCCTCTGGCACAAATACAAGTGCCTGTTTCCGGATCACATGAACTATTGTTCATACACTCGCATTGCGAATGACAGTCGTCACCATAAAGACCTTCTAGACACTTTGTCTCACAACGGATTCCTGTTTTATACCGTTAAAATGAGAACTTCATCGAAGATCAAATCGCCATTAAACTAATTTTCCAGTCTTTCTCAAAAATTTCATTTCTTTTTAAATAATACTAAATTGATTATTAAAACATATACTATTTTATGTATTTAATATATTTTATTTTATTCATTAAGTAATATTATATCTATTAAATAAATTATAAAGAGACAGGAAAATCACTTAGTAGTTGAAAATATTTAGTTATCTTACATACATTATATGATGCAGATGAAATGAAATAAGTAAGATATTAAAACGTTACTATAAGGAAAGGATAGATATTGAAGCTTTCATGTACGGCGATTGATCGACGAAATAAGAAAAAGAACAAACCTCGCCATTCTTGCTTACAGATGCAATGACCAGTAGTAAAATCACAGCCTAGACTATTTTCTTCATGACAGTCACAGAATTGTGTACATCTCAGCCCAAAAAATCCTTTTTCACAATGATCTTGACAAAATTCACCGACGAAGCCAGCCGCACATGTGCATGTGCCTGCAGGTGTTTAAAAAAAGTGTTGTGTTTTGGTGCAGGTGCAACGAAATGAAAATAGAAATGTAGAATTAAGAAATGTGTCTTTCAAAAATGTGTAACACTAAATTAAATAAAACCAAATAATATAAGCAAATTTTATGAGAAATAGATAAAGATATAAAATTCAAAAAATTAATGCTTATTTGTTAATGAATTAAAGCATTAACTTTCTATAAAATTAAAAAATGATCGTTGCAACCAGCCCCCTTACCATTTTGTGGATTGCAGGCAGCATTGTTAAAGCATTTGCATTTACTCTCGCAGTCCTTGCCAAAAGATTTCTCGTCGCAGGGACGATCACACGAAACACCAACCCATCCTAATAAAATGTAATAATAATACATGCAGGAATTTAAATTTAACTCAACATAAAAAATAAAAACGTTTTACAGACAACAATTAAATTAATTAATTCTTATCGAATTAATATTACTTACCTTATTTAAATAACCATTATTTAAATAAATTAATTTATAATATTAACTTACGACTACACTTAATATTATGCATGTAACATACTACTATGAACTACAATTAGTAAAGTATCACAATTGCTCATGCAATTCACGATCATATAACTAAAAGTTAAGATAAATTTATGCAGATAAAACAAAATGAAAGTACCAAGACGTAAACACATAAATCGTACGACCGGAAAATGCTTATTATTTGAAGGATACTTTTTTTAATACGTTTTTAATTACTCACACATGACTCAATCAAATTTCCTTCCAATTTTAATAAGCATTATTTAATCTTTGATATTTATTTGAATTAATTTAAGAATTCCTTTGCTCGTAAGAGTGTAGTTTATTACCTGCTGTACAGTTGCATCGACCACTCTCGGGTAAACAAGTAGCACCATTCTTGCAGACGCATTTTTGTGCACAGTTTTCGCCGTAAGTGTTGTTTGGACATACTTCATTACAATCTTCACCTCTGTATCCTGCTGCACAAATACACGTTCCATTTATAGGCGAACACTGCGCGTTATTCTTGCAATTACAACGATTCTGACAGCCTTTTCCATACATATAAAGTGGACAAGGTCGGGCACAGGTATCACCATCCCAGCCTGGTTTGCAAATACACTTTCCAGTCCAAGGATGACACATTTCTGTATTGTCATTCTCACATTCACAAACCTAGCAAACATTTATTAATATTTTATTTATTTTGTATTATTCAAAGTAGCATTGAAAAAAAGAAACATTTTTTCATACTATCATGTACCTTTGTACAATTGGGTCCCCATAATTCATTTTGACAAACACGCTTATTGCACTTTTCGCCCGTCCAACCGGGACTACAGATACATGTTCCGTCAATCGGAAAACAATGTGCATCATTTTCGCAGGTACAGTTATTTGTACAATTCAAACCGAATGTTCCTTCGGGACATATCTTTAGGCACTACAAGAATTATTTTCATAATAATTGAGCATCACGTAAAAATGTAACTTTAAAAATATCAATTAGTTTTAATATTGAATATAGCTGTAAATAATCACCATTTCATCATAAAAGCCTGGTTTACATTCACATTCCCCAGTAATATGATGGCAGCCAGCTCCATTGTAACAATCACATTCTTGGGAACAATTTTTACCCCAGAAATTTTCTGGACATCGATTCGCACAAACTGAACCCTATTTTACAATAAAATTTAAGTAAAAAATTGTATTACAACACATAAAATCTTGCGAAAAGTCATTAATTAATATTTACAGTCCATCCACGTGTACAATAGCAATCGCCAGTTGTAGCATTGCAAGAACCACCATTCTGACATTTGCATTCTGACTTGCATTCATCGCCGTGTTTTCCTGGCGGGCATAAATCATCGCAACTACAAAAAAAATGAGCATTATTCGAATAATTTAAAAATTGAATTTTTCTATTTAACAAAGTTAATAATAGAATACAGAGGACTTACAGAGGTCCTGTATAACCTGGAGCACAATGACATTCGCCAGAAATATGATGGCAGCTTCCACCATTCCTACAACGGCACTCCTCGCCACAGTCTTGCCCATATCTATTAGGAGGACACTCCTGATTACAGTATTTGCCGGTCCAACCTCTAGTACACAAGCATTTACCATCGAATGGATCGCAAGTGGCCCCATTCTGGCACATGCAATCCATTTCGCAAGACTTGCCCCATTTTCCTGATGGACATTCTATTGAAATATAAATACATAATTTGGGACACTTTGCTCGCTCATGAGTAACAAATACGAGATACAATTATTACAATTTTTCTTATAATAACATACGTTAAAACATCCTGATTAATTAAAAAACTAACAAATATCAATAAATTCACTATTATCCTACTTAGTTAAAAAAACAATAAATATATAATTTGATTATTTCAATAATTTTGAAAATAATAATAAAGTAATAAAATCAAACGCTTACTGTAATCGCATAATGGACCTCCATATCCTGACTCACACTTGCAGACATCTGGCGCAATACAAGTGCCATGAACACAATCCTTGGAACAGATAGGAATGCAACGATCGCCATTATTGGTCTCCGTGTAGCCTTTACAACATTCTTCCACGGGTCTCTGTTTCGTTAATTTCTGATGGAACAAAGTTAAGATCTTAGACACGAAAACTTCCTTTTTAATTAATTTTAATTTAATTTACTTGTTATTACTTACCTCTTCTTTGTATATTGTTTTGAATACCACTTTGTATTTAGAGCATCGCGGCGGAAAGCTGAAGCACCAAGTGTTCTCTCGAACAGTGTAAGGTTTCTGTTCCGATATCCTCACCGTTACCGTGTACCTGACACCAGCCAAGTGTTAAAAGTAGGTGCTACGAGTTGTGAAAAAAGTAGGTAGCTCGGGGACATTAATAATTAAAATGTTAAAAAGCTGATTGAATCTTTTAACTTTGTTACAACTGTACTTATTGAAAAATGTATTAATCTGGTAGAAAACTTGTAACATACTGTTGATAAATAAAGGGCATTAACTATATTTCTATATTTTTTGAAATTAAAAATTTTTTCGAAGATATACATTGGACATATTTTCATAAATTTTTATTAAAATTCCAAACGTAGTAATAATTATTATTTTCTTAAGAAAAAGTACCCCAGTGAAAGTCAATTACCGTAAAATTACGTAAAATTAGTAATCATGGCATTAAAATGTATTTTACTAAATTAATAAATCTCTTCCACTTACGTTGCTTGCCTAGTACATATGTTTGGTCCCTCTAGACCGCTAACCGTCCCCAAAGCAGCAATAGCAGCCAAAAAATAGATCGATAAAGTCATTCTGACTTATCGTTTTTAGTATAATAAACTATTATATGTATATATTCGCACGCATATCACATTGCTTCGAGCAAAATCCCGCAATGTCTTCGAGTATTATGTGATCTCCTTTTTTAAGCAATCTTCATGCTTTGCAGACATTCACATTTCTGATCCTGAAAAGACAGTTGATAAACGTTAAATTATCGTCGGCTATTATTCATTTTTCTTAAGAATAAAAGAAACATTAACAAATAACAAAAAATATATACAAAAAGTAATCTCTAGCACGTTTATTACGAATTCAAAGAAATTCATTCGTCACTTTAGACTCTGTATCCTGAGCTCCATCGTAAATTATCCGTTTCAACCATATTCCCGAGTCACTGTTTAAGACAAATCACATATTTATTAAAATAGTAACTACTCTGTCGAGGACTGTTCAATGAGTAGGAATATTCTTTTTCCTCGAATTGCGACAGCAGAAGATCAACCAACGATGTGAAATGAAACTTTCTTCCGGAAATAACGGTCTAAAGTAGTCACAGAACAGTCCTACTTGCGCTTGTAAACGGTAAAACAGTGAGTCTCTAAATGCCATTCTACTCAATAGAGCCTGAATGTTAATCATGAATGCTGAAAGTATTATTTATCACCTATGGTACATTTCATATAATTGAAACATATTTTTGTTCAGTTTGTATAACTTATTTGTATCTGTGGAATATTTAACAATTGAAAATCGAACTTGAACAATAATTAGTTGCACGTGAAATAAAACATCTGCCTTTTAACAATCAATGAACATGTCCATATTACACACTGAGTCACGCAAGGTTCGCAAAAATTGTGTAAGTGTTGAAGGCTTATCATAACTTCCGTGTTGCCATTTACAATTTGGCGAATAGAAACTTTAACCACCAACAAAACTTGGAACAGCATACGCACTTGGGAAAACGAAAATAAATATATCAACACATACATTTGTAGAAAATTAAATTAGACAATGTTCCACATTATAGTTATCTTATTCTGTCCTGGGTTAGTAAGCGAATGTCCCCAAAATGCATCCCTCGCAGCCTTATAGGAGCGTGTTCCCTCTCCGTCACCTCGTTATCAAGGACAGGTAGTTTTTTTAACCAATTTCGATCCTGACACCTAAGCCTGGCGTGTAAACATTCCTATCTGTCCATTGCCTTTGAACCTCAGCGACGTCTTCTAAGAAATCCAATGAAGAGCTTGTTTGTGACGAAAGACGAGCAACATCGGTGAAGGTTGCCCACAAATTGTCTATCCTTTTTTAATCTTAGTAGTAGCATGTGTTTAATTTCTTATTGATATTCGATAATAGTGTTTAGGGGTCCTTCTCCGCGGTTGATGGTGGTTTCTTGGCTACTGTGGCGATTAGGACTGGAAGGGACGAACGGGAAAAAGAAGGGATGCTTTTCGTCCGGGGCTAGTGGACTCATTAGTAAGGCTACCTAGCAGACCCTCTCTCAGGCAAGGATACTATTGGGAAGTCTGGAAATTCAATATATAGGAAACAGAGGGTTTACCGAGGACTTGCAAGAAAATCCTCGAACCTCCTTCAACCTGGAACCTATTTAGTGACGAGGGTGAGAATGATGCCGCCACAGTGTCTATACATCATTGCTTGTCTTATTATCGTGTTCGCATATTATCGTATAAGGAAATGTCCTTGCTCACGCTCTTAGTCATTTAACTAATCAGGGTACCGTTAGTCCTTTAGCGAATTTCAGCGAAAATCGAGGAGTTAGTCGCTCTTATATCTTCAAACTCTGATGTTGTCTGGCTGTCTAACATTCGACCACCTTTAAATCTCTCCTGAAACGTTGATACCGTCTATATTCGACTCGGCTGTGGTCTACTCGTTCGTATCTTAGCCTTTCTTCTTGCTCGCGATTATTGAATTGGTTGCTCAAGATTGATTTGATAAGCAACATTGACGAAGCTCAGCGTGGCGGATTTACCCCCCAGAGTACATCGAAGAATGCAAACGCGATGAGACACATACATCGTATCACATTTTGATATGAGCAATTTCACAGTTTAACTTCACTTTATATAAAGTGGATCAATAACTTTGACCACTTTGAATACCTTCATTATTTTTAGAGGTATGCAAAAACTTTTACGGGATGCAGAGCCTGTAACATGTATATTATAACTTTGTGAGTGGGAAATTTCCAGATATTTCAAAATAGCCATCGTATTTCTTGATGCCACGTTATATTTTTCTGTTTCTGTAGTAAAATGCTGAAGATTTCAACAACCTATAATATAAGTTCATTCGATAATAGATAATAAAAGTTGCAAATGAAATATAATAAAGTTTATTGGCTCACCCTGTATAAAGCTAGGGTTCTCAATCCTTTGATACATGTTTCTTAGAAACGTAAGATGGCTTAACAAATTGAAGATCATTCTCATTCTCGAGGATGAAAGCAGCCTTTGCACTGATCTTTTTATTATCGCAATTTCTCTTGTATCTTCTTTGGAATATTTCTTTTTTCCTGAACTCCTATCTTGAAAGATTATATAGTGTTCCTTCGTTACTAAAATATTCTCTGTTAATCAATCCCACAAGGATCGTGTTTCGAGCACCGTTCAACGTTCTTTATCTGGTTCAAGCAACCTTGGAATCACATTACGATGTTGAACGCTCTTTTTTCTTTGGTTGTTTGCATTCTGCGCACGTCGATCGAACTTCACGTAGTTCAAAAGGAATTACACGAGTAGTGGAACTACATACCGGATGTAGGAAGTAATTACAGAGGAAACTCATCTTTACATCTCCTTGAGGTAGACTTCAATCACAAGTCGTATTCGAACCCAATCTTGCCATTTAGTATTTAGAACAAATTTTCTAAATAGTGTGGCATTGATATTATCCAAGAAAGATAATATATAAAAAGATGCTTCAGCGACCAAAACAGGAAGTTAATGAAACGTTATCGCTTGATTACATCCATCAAGTTCAATAGATTCAATTATCGTGGGACTATATGAAAATACACTTTTATTTCTCTTATGACAATAATCATACTTGTTATAACATCTGACTTGTTACTATATCTTCTATATATTGTGATAATAATTCCTATGTATGTGTATACTTCCTTCCTTTTTACGAAATTACATAAACAAATAACGAGTCAAATAGATATAAGAATCTGCGAATATCAACTTGTCTCGTTCCTGTAACTCATTAGATTAACTCCTTGAAATAAATGTGAGTATAATAAAATTTGCATTTTTATTTGCTTAATTAAAAATTGACTGGTGATATCGTTATTAATCGTGAAATAAAAGTCGTAACAAGATTCTGATTAAAGTATCTTCTTGCTTGGTTAACATTTTGTCACTTCCGGTCGAGTATCATTCATGGTTTACGCGTGTTTGCACATGAATCATAAGTCTGTATAGTCATTCGTTGGTTGAAAAAACGTGAGCTTAACTTATGAGTAATTCACAGAGATTTTTCAGGGTAGTGGTGACCAGTTTTTATTTGGTCTATCACTCACAGCTGTGCATTAATGATTAATCGCAGCCGTTTAACCCATACGTTGCTAATTTCCGCGAAAGAGAAAGGCTCAAAATTAGGAATTTAATTATCAGTATTTGAATACTCGGTAGAATCTTTTAAACGAGTTTTAGGAGACTTAATAATTGAATACTGTCGCAAGTTTAAGAGTTACAATTATAAATCTTCCAGTATTGTTAAGTAATTTATGTTAGGATGCATACGAATGGATAAAATTCAATAGAACAGTAACAAAGCAATTTTACTAATATCTCGAAAATTAAAGCCAACCACTAACTAAATGTAAAGGGAAAAGTTGTTCAAAACACTGCTATTGACGCTATATTTGGAAATCATCGAAATCAGCGAGAAATCGGTAAATTGATAAGTTCATCCTTTAAACCTAACTACTTTCAAACTTTCATTGTTACGTTACTGAAGTCGTGAAATTTTCTTTATATGACTGTTATAGTTATATAAATATATAGTTACAATTTTTTACATATTATTATTCGGAATTATCAATATAACCTTCAATATTCCAATCAGGGTTCTTCAATTGTTTCATTAATGTCACTCAAAGTTAAGCAGCTCAATAGAAACTATAGAATTCATTTAACAATAGCATGATGGTTCTGACTGTATTATACAGTGTGTTTCGTTTTACCGCGAAAGCTGGAATATCTGACAAGTGATCGAAGCTATAGAAAAAATATCCATTGATCAGTATGAGGAGGAATGGTATTAATAACTTCTCTATTGGTAAGGAAAGCTTTTTACCAACGGTAAAGAAAAGGAAAACTTCGTGGAATATTTTAAATGGAACTCTATCTTTTTTTTATTTACGATACAATAGCGTTTATTGAAACGAATTCAACGACCTGCATAATGATATCATTCCGTTTAATAGAATGTCATAAATTAGATCTGAAAGAGTCAGTCAACGTGAATTGTCACGTGATCAACTGACAGTATCAAACTCCTTATCTCCCCAGATTATTATTATATTTTTACTTTTGTATTTGAAGGTTAGTCTAACACATGTTTTCCGTAAATCAAGAAGTAGAAAGAACAATTGTTTTAGTTTGAGGACGAATTTTATGTTAAGTTTCTTTGCCAAAAAGTGTTTCGCGTAATTTGACATACAGCGAATTCTCTTATCTACTTTAAACCACTGCGTCAGAAGGTAGCCCTAAATCTGTCCCTAAAACTTTTCTCAAAGTGCCAAAGGAATTTTTGTATAGCATTATCATTGTATTCAATATAACATTGATATTAGGCATTAACTCTTTGCTCTCGAAAGTCAACTCTCAGGCGCCATTTAATCAGATTCTAAAGATCGATATTAATTAATATATCAAATTTAAAATTACCCAACGAAGCTGTCCCTAAAACTTTTCTCAAAGTGCCAAAGGAATTTTTGTATAGCATTATCATTGTATTCAATACAACATTGATATTAGGCATTAACTCTTTGCTCTCGAAAGGCAACTCTCAGGCGCCATTTAATCAGATTCTAAAGATCGATGTTAATTAATATATCAAATTTAAAATTACCCAACGAAGTGTGGAATATCGAAGTAAAATAATTCTACGTCTTAATATGCATACCATTTCTTATTTATCGTTTTA